TCTGAGAAAAGCTATTCGAAAACTGAAATTATAAGTAGCAGAGATAAAGTGTATATATCTACTACTCTTACGTTGAACTTGAGCCATTAAATAAAACGAGTTTATTTTAAATAATTTGCAATTCAGGAAATAAAATCTGGGACAGAATTCTATTTATAATATTAATAATTTAGGAAATATAATCAGGAAATAAGTAATTCAGGAAATAAATAATTCAGGAAATAAAATCTGAAAAAAATTCTATTTCTACTATTCTAAATAATAATGTCATAATATAATTACATTTGGATATATCTATGTATTTATTTTGATGCGTACAATGTTCTCTATATATTACATATATGGTACATAAAATTATAAACAATATCCTCTCTCAAACACAATCATGATTCATACATTATATATATATATATATATTAGGGTATATATATATATGTATATACATATATTAGGGTGTGTCATTTTGGAGCAACTTTTTTTTTCATTTCACGAATAGCATATATACTTGCAGGAAGGTAAAATAAGATACCTGTTAAAATTTTAGCCCTTAATATTAATATTATCAGGTCGCTCATCGCGATTTTTTATTTTTTATTTAGTAAGATAGAAAAAATTTTATAACTATCTAACAAACAGTAATACAGCATTGCGCCACATAGATTTTCTGTAGTAAATTTACCGCTCTACAAAAAAGATCGCTTATCATTTTTTCATAAATTCAATCGTTCAAAAGATATTCAAAGTTAAAGTTTGATAAATTTTATAAAAATTGTTTTTGCTTCTTATGAATGTTGTATCATATTGACTATCAAAAATTATGAAATAATCAATACATATTTTTGTAGAAAATTTAACGATCTACAAAAAGGTCTCTTATGTTTTTTTCATAAATATAACCATTTAGATGATATTAAGGTTTAAAGTTCAAAGTATAAATATATATATATATATATATATATATATATATATATATATAATATATAGATAATATATATATTATATGTGTGTGTATAAAAGTAATAAATAAGCAAGCAGCTAGCGAATAGATTATATTCTGGTATAAAGAAATACATGAATAAATATCAAACGATACAAAATTTCAGAGATAATAAATTTCAACGACGACGAATTTTTCACAAAGCGATAGGGGAAAAGACAAGGAGGGTTGGTGGAGTCTAAAGAAACGAAGGTCAGAGAGGGTCGAGAAGGAAGAGGTCAAGGCCGCCAGTATTCAACGAAACGAAACCTATGTTCAAAGTAATGTTTTTTTAGGCCGTAACAAATATTTGTTATAACATACACTCGTTATAACGTACATTAATACTGATTCGATATAAAACAGAAATCCTTAGAATGATCAAAATGTATTTATGTATAATGGGATTAATGGTGAAAGCACCTAAATACGGTATGTAAATTCCTTGGCCTTGTAAGGAGCATCCTAATATAGCATCCGAAGGACTATTCGAGCTCTTCGTGCAAAGAAAAGGGTCAGGGATAGCGAACGTCATACGCAACATTTTAGCGCAATAAATGAAAAAAGTTATTGGCATGTTTTGACAGGATGACAAGTGCGTGTATCGGTTACAGATGGAAATTTGATTGGACAACAGGTTGGAGAAATAGGATAGGTTGTTTTCAATTATTGCTTACCCGTTGCTATATGAGCCTTAAAAACCGAATTTCAGATCGTAAGATTGATTGATTTGATATTACAAGGGTAATATTTCAATAATTTCCCATATTGCGAAACAATGCTTGCGATATTTACAAATATTTTCGATTAATTGTGCTTTGATAATAAATATGCAAATAAAATATAAATATTTCGGTGCATTCTCAAATTAATGTTATATAATTTGTTTTAAATAAATAATCAAGATATAATTTAAGATTGAAAATATATTGGAATAACTTTAACATTCACATGCGTTGTTTTGATCTAATTTTGTTCTTTTTATTTAATAACGATCGTGAGAAGAATCGTAAATACAAGCGTCATTTATTTGCGTCATTCATGTACGTGTTATCCGGGGAAAGTTATTAATGAGAAAAATCTCTCGAGAAATGTCGAGGAAATAAAACTTAGTTATTATTGACGACAAATATCAGAAGTCTTGCGATGGCAGCGACCCCGTAATTCACTAAACCTCGATCATCAATCATTTGACCATATACATTACTGCGACGTCTGCGACTCGGCATGACACCTACGAAAAAGTATCTCGTAAATCGTACTCTGCGTTGAAAACTTCACATATTTGTCACGCAAGTATAAGCTTTTAGTTCGCAACACATAAATACATATACAACGTGAAGAAAGCACACTGGAAGCATGTGTATTTTATAATTTATGATGACATTCGATTTCAATGTCGTTTTCAATCTCTCTGTCGATGGTACAGGCCTTTATTAAAAAAAAAAGAAAAAACAATAAAAAGATATTTTTTTTATGTATATGCAGCTGTAGAGCAGTAAAATGTGAAAGCCGGAACCGAAAAACGGATTACAGAGTTGGAAAAGTTCAAATTAAATCACAAAGTGCAGAAAGACTTCCTTGTGATATTGCAATCAATTGTAAGTCCGCGTCGGCTTTGAGTTCAAGGGCGCGCGCGCACGCACACACACACACACACACACACACACACATTTTATACCTTTCTTATAAACATTGTTATTTACGTGGAAAAAACTGTTACACTCGTGACGCGATTTTACATGCGTATTGAATAGAGCGCGACGCGGGCAAAAGTTAACTCGACTCGAGATATCTGCTATCATAATAACAAATGAAAACTTTACAACGCAACAGTAAACTACCTACGCGCACTCTTGTTCGCCGCATGATTCTATTTCATTTGCTCGTTGCAAGTGGCAACAAGCAGCAAAAAACCCGCATATACGGTTTTGTTTGCTGGTTTTGTTCTATTGTTTTCAAAGATAAAAGGCACAGTACGCACCATTCTCTTTTTTAAACAGCATTGATTGCACACACGAAAAAGGGCAAAAAGGGGGAAAAACGGTAATATGTCCTCTGTCTCGTACATGCGCAATTTAGTCAATTATCAAAGGTTCTGTGTGACCAATCGCGCATCGATTTCCTATTACTTCCCGCATAGTATGTGTAATAACATTTCCAACCGTTCTCGACAGTGAGTCATTTCTAAAAAATAATATATCTCTGATATCGCTTTTCGTCGAGAACAGCAGATATGATATGATTATGATACGTCTAAAAAGATATTTTCAGGTCAAAATACTTGAGAAATTCTTCTTTTTTTTGCCATTTAAGAAATCAAAAAATAAAATTCTCACAAAAATTTATTTCAAAAATTGTAAGCAAAGAATAAATTAAAAATACTTATCAAAGCAGATATGATATTATGCGTTTAAAAAGAAAATCTTTTCAGGTAAATTATATTCTTTTTTCTTACCTGTTGAGAAATCAAAGGTAAAATTCTCACAAAAATTTATCTTCTAAAATCATAAGCAAAGAACAAGTTAAGACTACCGATTGTGCACACGCAGAAATATCTTTTACAATAAACTTCCTTTACTCAATTCCCGAGCGTGGTTTGATCTCATTGAGTATGAAATATGCCGGAGGAAAATGCATCATATATTATACTTATATGCAGCTGATAACTTGCTCCACTACGTTAAAGCAAAAAGCAAAGATATTTCTGTCATTAGCAAGACACGCATTGTTCTCGATATAAACGAGAACGGAAAGCTCGAAACGTTGGCGTACGTCTCTTCATTTGCCTCAAACCAAGGATACCATTCTTTTTGTCGTGGGATGCGCACGCTGACGTATTCTTCGCATACACACACACACACACACACACACACACACACACACACACACGAATGCGATTTATTTGTACGGCCTTTCTCATCTGCATTTTCTTCTTTCTATGTTGCATAAATTTAATGAAAGTTATGCTTTCTCTTCGGATACTCCATCTACTTTACGAATAGCGATTTGAAATTATATGATTTCCAATCTAATTAGTAGTAGTTTATACGTACAATATGATTTTCAATATCCTTCATTAAATTACATGGTCCAATAGACGATATAACGTAACGTTTCATAGCGATATGAATTCCTGTGAATACTTTATTCGATCCTTTCACTATGTTACGGTTCACCTACGCAGCTTACAATTAGCATTCCGTTTAATGGACAAACTTAAATAAAAATTTTTCATAAATTTCAAGAAGCAAGATAAGAATATAATAAAAAATTTCTTTATTATATTACATACACGGAAAGAACGGTTTTGCTGAAGTATCTGAAAATGTAACTATATACGAAGAGAATTTTCTCTTAAAATTTACCCTAAAATCATGGTAGTTGTGGGACAACATGTACCACCAAGAATTTTATGCGAGCTATTCTGATTAATATCTACCATAAATAAAAAATATTAATATCTAGTACATTAAAATATAAAATATATTTGATTAATTTTACTAAAATATATCTAGAAAATTTCAATAATTTTTCAAAATTTACCAATCTGCTTGGTAATTTTTATCACGTTGATTGTATGTCTTTTGTATATTTTAAAAATTCCTTGCCAAGTTGTCCCAAGTTTGTAGTAAATTTAAGGGTAAAATATAACAAAAAATTCTCTCCGTGTTGATACAAATCTGAAAATAATTTTGTTGCATCATCAAAATAATTATAGTGGGTCGCTGAAGTATGATGAAAATGCTGTAAAAAATTGTGACATTTTAGCAATCAGTTTGAGTGTTCTACATAATTATTTTGATGGTTCAACAAAATTATTTTCAGATCTGTATCTAGCTAAATTTTTAGATACTCCAGCAAAACCGTTCTTTCCGTGTATATATATCTGCTTATTCGCTTACAATAACTTTATTACACGTATCTATACGTGTAATTGTATTTGTGCCTTATTTTTATACCTTACGATCCAATGCCTATTCGCTTCCATCGAGTTACGGTAACGAGGTTTTGTTTTTTCCAGAGGAATGGAGCGAGAATTTCCCCTATCAGCTTTTGATAGCGGGAGGGGTGGCCCTAGTTGGCCTGGTCCTTCTGGCGGCGGTGAGCTTCCAATGCTCTTCCACTTGGCGATGGTTGATGAGCATGACTCGACATGAGAATATCGAGAATACAGAGACTGATCAGCTTCAGCAAAATGCGATTCGCATCAGCCATTCTCTCCCGGACCTCCAATCAGAGCCGATTACCCATGAATACGTTCAAGAACAGAAAGAGAATAAAAAGGTATTGTTGACAAATTCGAATTAGTAGAACGTTCTGTAAAATTCTGCGGCTATTTCAATGTTAACATTTTATCAGGTGCTGCGTCAAACCACTCTGCCCATCGTGCCAATGAGACATCAAAGCTTCCAACGTCAATTATCGCATCGACTTGATCTGCCTAACATTAAATTCAGTATTTGCAGCTTGGAAAATCGCAGCGACTCCAGCCTTGGTCTTATCAAGGTATTTTGGGGCATTATTTCAATATTTGTATCTTTGTTATGACGGATGCTGAAATGCAAACAGCGACGCAATGTCATTTGATTCCTTTTGAAGCAAGCTTATCGTGTAACATATAGCGTTCCGTATATTCCGGTTTTCCGGTTTATTTCCAGTTACTCTAATTGTTTTATAAATTGATTGACATTACGTAAATGCGTGCATAATTAAAATTTTTTTTATTTTACTTACGAGATATAATATGAACTGTTAACACTGTGCAGCCGGAGTTGTATAAGAAAGAGCTCGTGAGACAAGAGAGCGCGGAGAGCTCCAGTACAACAGAAATGGAATACGCTGGAAAATTACATTTTGCTCTTCGCTATGACAAGGAAATCGAAGGTCTTGTTGTCAAAGTAAGTATCGCGCAACATTTTTTTATGATTTGTCGCAAATTTTAGTTATATTAAAATAGATGCATGATAAAATATATATCGTAAATTATACAATAACGGATTTTTTTTTAATTATGTAGCACGGCAGGTAGAAAAGACTACGATAAACAATATATATTTGATAAAATATTAAACAAAATAAATTCAAAATTGTATTAAATGAGGTGTAAAATTTTCGTGGACTGGAAAATAACGTGTCCCGTGTATGAATAAATGAGTTTGCGTTTCAATCGCGTTTGTGTGCGAGCTGAATATACATATATCTGGGTTATATTCAGCACGCAAGATATTGAATAATGATAATGTAGTATCACAATATTGCATTTATGATGGACATACATCCTCCTGTACTAGAATTAACCGTGGTAATGTGTAGATTAGGTAATGCCGGCTACATTAAGCTATTACTGTGGCGAATTCAAGTGCATTAAGATCAATTATGCACGGCACACCACGCTCCAAAGATAAATTTAAATATGAATATGCTATTATCGGCCTTTGCTCCATTTGCCGCGTTGCGTTATATTACGTAAATTTTTATAAAACTGTAACATTTCGAAACTATTGTTTATAAAAAAGAGTCAGATTTTATACTGTTTACGTAATACGCTTATACAATTGTTTAATTAACTATACTTTTTTTTACTACTGTCTACATACAAATGTAAATGTTACAAGATAAAAATAATATAACATTTAATATCACTAATATTATTCGATCTCCATCTCTTTAACACGATATTAGTTTTATTGTTATTTTATTCTCGTATAATTACATCTGTCAAATTCAATGATATTTGGTTCTCTGATATTAGGTTTTGGAAGCTCGCGAATTGCCGATAAAGGATGTAACGGGCAGCAGTGATCCGTACGTCAAGGTATACCTGTTGCCAGATAGGAAAAAGAAGTTTCAGACAAAAGTACATCGAAAAAATTTGAACCCGATATTCAATGAAACGTTTATTTTTAGGTAAAGAAATTTACAAGTCTATCTTGAAAGATTTTTTGTTTTTAGGTTTCAATTATGTGTACTAAATTACGTAATTACGTAAGAGAAATTAAAACGCAATGCTTGATATGTAATTTATTTTATTAGCGTATCATATGAAGAACTGAGGGAACGTTACCTGCAATTCTCAGTTTACGACTTTGATCGGTTTTCACGTCACGATCTCATTGGACAAGTTGTTCTTAAAGGGCTTTTAGAATGCACTGACCTCGAGCAAGAAATCGAATACACGATGGACATCCTTTGTGCTTTGCAGGTACCTTAATTTGCGTGAGATGAACAATTTAATTTTTTTTTTACGATTGTTTCGGATGTACAACTTTAACCTTTCAATATTGTAGGAGAAGGTCGATCTGGGAGAATTGATGTTGTCGTTGTGCTATCTACCAACGGCAGGTCGGTTGACATTAACCGTCGTTAAAGCCAGAAACCTGAAGGGAATGGATATAACAGGCAAATCAGGTCCGAATGGATCAGATAATTATTTGCGATTACAATATTAATGAAAAAATCTTATTAAAAATATAACATTATTATTCTATTATCTTAATTATCATTGATTAGTTCCATTATTATCATAATTATGTTATTATATTATTATCTGTAATCGACTGAATATGTTTTATTTCCTCATTAGATCCCTATGTGAAAGTCTACCTGCTATGCCAAGGCAAAAGAATAAAGAAGAAAAAGACAACGGTGAAGAAGAACACTCTTTACCCTATCTACAACGAGGCACTCGTTTTCGACGTTCCCTCAGACAACATTGAAGATGTCAGTCTTATAGTGAAAGTAATTGATTACGACAGGTAAGAACAGTTTTTCATTCAATTTTATAGAATTTTGTTTTTATTAAGACAAAAATGCAAAATGTTTAATGTTTTACGTATATTAGAATCGGGTCGAATGAGTTGATGGGCTGCACCGCGATTGGATCGAGCTTCATTGGAATTGGCCGTGATCACTGGTTGGAAATGTTAGATAATCCAAGAAAACCGGTGGCACAATGGTATCCGTTAATGGAAACTGTATCTGGCCATATTCCAGCCGTAGATTCGGAACCGCTCCCAGTAAGCCTGAGCTGCTTAAACGGCAGGTGGGTTTAACTCTTTGGCGCGGATTGTAGTTTGCAATTATAATTAGAGATTATAGTAGTTTGCCAATAGTTCGCTAATAGTCTAGAACTAAATTCTAAATTCTCGCTAGAAATTTAAAATCTGGCATGATGAGATGATAAAGTCAATCAATATTAAACAAGATGATAAAAAGTTCAGTAATTTTCATCGGCGCTTCTGACAAAACTCGCATTGCAGATGAAGACAAAAGGCGGAGAGTAAACACTACGGAATCTCGCAAATATTGTCGGACGTCGGCTTGGACATCGTCTCCTTCTGTCGTCATTTAATGCACATCGCTTGACTGACTTAAGTACAACCTCTGTCTCAAAGGAAGGCCGGAAGGCGAATTCTGTGCTTGTGCTTTGCAATCTTACCTCGTGCAGCAGGCATGAAATAATAAACGATACGTAAAACCATAATACGAAAAATCGATCACTCGCGAAACATAAGTATGCGTTTGCTCAATTCCGACGATCCGATGGCGATCGTGATCGGAAACGAGATGAATTTGCGTTTTGCTTTGTCTTTGTCGAACTTGTTGCTCCGCGATAGTGCCGGGCTGGTCCCGCACCGTTTCAAACGCAAGGCTGTTTTGTATTTACATCAGTATATCCCCGTAGAATCTCCCCTTATTACACGTGATGTTGAACATGACGGTAGCTTAAATGTTCTAGATTAACCCGTGGAGGTCAGATAAAGTAAGTTTTTACAGAAGACGAACATATAAGAGTGAGGAGCATAAGGCCTTATCCTGGATAAAGATATGAGACAGACGAATGCAGACAGATTTAGGCGAGAGACGGATTATATTAACGGCAGAGTGCAATTGAATACGGTAAATGTCTTAAGGTAGTACAAATATAGCGTTGGATCTATGCATCGTTTATTATTTCACGCTCGCTACCACTTCTGCGCAAATGTTCTATTAACGTGATATATGTTTAAACATAATGCTCGATGCAAACGGGCACTGTTTGTGATAATGTATCTGAAACACATACGCATATTGACACACACACATATACGTACAAGTAACACACGTGGTCCCAGAGTCCACGTATATCAGCGGCTGCTTCGTACACGTATGTACGTTTGCAATTAACGCGACTACTCAATTGTGAACTTGATAATAAATAATAATATACGTCGTGTAAGTTAATTATTTATATCGTATAAGAAAAAGGCAAAAAATGCAGTTTTCTAATTCGATGAATTATGAATATATTATTTACGTCATACGTGTATGCATTTAAGAATATAATCGAAATAATATTTTGGAAATATGAGATTTAACTAAGATCAGTGAGAAAACTGTTTAATTTTTTGGTGAACTGCATTTGGCCAAATTCGTGAATGTCTTTGATAGGTCTGTGTGAATTCTGCTTTATTGACATATTTCTAAGAACACTTGTCCGGTGACGTTTACACAGAATGTGAGAGAATCTAAGTACCGAAGAAATATGGGTGTTTCTGGAAAATGGACGATAAATTGAGTATCCTCAAACGTTTTATAAAAAATAAAATAGAGATACAATGGCAAAATATGTTTTTAATTATATTTACGTCTTTATTTTACTTTCTATTAAATTTTTTCTGCGACTTTAAGTTTCTTAAGCCCTAAGTCAGTTGCATAAAGAATTGGCAATTACGCCACAAAAGTATAATCTATACATATATAGAATTATATATTACACAAACCGTATATAATCGAATATAATATCAAAACTGAGGTGATATAATACGAGTGACATAAAAAATGTGCCAACAAAGTAGCTATGTAGCAAAAGTATAGTGTTATATTAATAATAGCTAGTATGTTCTAACCACACACATGCTTGATATAGAAACTTTAGTCGGCGCTCTATAGTAATCCTAGATTATCCCCCTATTTCGAGTCAATATATTTCGAATTTCGACTATATGCCTTTTTTCGCCTATGAGTCGTAAGAAATATCTTTATAAATCTTCGAGAATTTTTCATTTATTCCGTTATTCCAGCAATGCCCATAAAAAAAAAAGAAAAAAAAAACTACTGTATTTTTCGTACAAGTGGAACATTCTACCACAGGACTGAGCTTTCTCAAATAACTTCATGTAATAAGTGGAACAGTTGCTCCATATTGAGAGTAGTATTTAAACGAGAAACCTGTACTTATACATAAAAATGGCGACGGAAAGTAATCTCTCCATTAATATCGTTACAAAATTATTTAAATTGCTCCAGAATGCGATTCAGAAGCTAAAGCCAAAGTAAGCTTTCAGTTTTTATTACATATGCATCAGTGAAAAATTTAAACGTTCCCTTTTATTCACCTCGTACGCTGGGTCGCAAACTCATGAATGATAAAGTATCGGCTTTGAAATGTAAATGGACTGCGTACTGGATTATAAAATATGAATATATGGATCTCTCTCGTGTGTGTTTATCTTATGAATATGAACAAGACGAAATACATGCAAATAAGTGTACGTCAAAAATTACATTGGTAACGTATTGTAACTGTCTAAATCGAAGGATGAGTACTTCGTTTAATACTTACTCTAATTATGAAAGCGATAATTACGTACATCGTACGTAATTAATTTATGGGCAAACATAACAATAATATCGGTATGGACGATGTGTATACTTTTCTAACGAGTACATATCTATATTGTATATTTGAGTGCACCCAGAGTGCTCCCTGTTATGATCGTAAATAACATAAATAAATCGGTAACAAGAAAGTTTGTGACGTTTTAATTCCACCTAATTGCTCAATTTTAATATATTTTGTATAATATCACTTAAAATACATCGAGTTTATATCAGTTGAAGCTACAAAGAAAAAAAAAAGATCGTCTGCAACATCAAATGTACTTTTCATTTATTTGACTACTTATCTTTACAGATTATTCTACCTTATGCTAAGATACAACTTTCCCATTATGTTCACCTCTAATCGAACATTACAATACTTCTAAGTATAAAATAAGCGATAGAGCTTATATATACTGGTATGTAGCAACGACTTAAGTACTTTTCTACCTAGTAGTACTCCTTAAAAGTGGCGGGAATTAATCTGTACCGCGTATCTCCTGTCAACGACGAGGTGCCCGTGATTACGGTTTTGGCTTCGTCGGAAATCAATTATGAGACAAGTGTCGTCGGAGACTCTCTTTTCGACGGTGCGCCCAATCATCCTACATCCACCGATCGAGCGTCAGACCGTCACGGGCGCGCTTTTCACACACCGCCGGCAAAACAATTAGGCCACTAACTACATTTTGTTCGCGGAACACAATCGTTTGGTCATACTCTCTCTCTCTCGCGCGCGCACGCGTCAATCTTCAATTCATGAAAAGATGTTCACCGAAGACGCCCGTAGTCGGTGGGAGGCTCGATCCTCGACGAGATGTAATTGCGCGGTTAACGGCGATCCGTAAATTGGAAGAGCTTGACCGTGATCCGCGCACGTTAAATGTCAGATCGGGTCGCGTCAGATCGAGGTAGGAGAAAAAAAAAGCCGAGTCGGTGCTTATAAAACATTGGTGCAAATTGATGCTCAACGAGCCCCCTTTGAATCCGCGCGATCGAGGCTCTGCTCCAACTTTACGGCTACGTTGTATATTGACTTTCGTATGTGATGTAAAAAAAAACTGATCATACGCGTCGACGAAAGCTTTCGATTAGCCGCGACTCTCTTGTTACGAACCGAGACGTCGATTCACGTTCCGTTTGAGCTTCTCAGCTCTTACGTTGACTCTTTCTCTCTCTCTCTCCCGCGTCGCTCTTACAATATAACTTTTGAGAAACTTTAAACCAGGTGTCTTTAAGTAGATAAACGTGAGCCTAATGAGTAAGCGCTTGAGTGTTATATCCGCGTGTGTTTTGCAGCGTTGTTTCTCTCCTGTCCCGCCCGTGATTACGCTTATAAACATTACAGACGCATCGATTAGTCTATAGATGTAAGTTATTTCTCTACGGGCAGCTCGCGGCATGGGTGAACCGGATAAAACTTTACACAGTTCTCGTTACGTTTCTTCGCCTCGTAATCGTAATGTCGATAAGTAAAATTATTACTTAACACGCAAACATTAAGGGCCTTATCCGACGAATATACAAATCTATGCTCCTATAGGTAGCCGTCAATATTAAGTACGTTAATGTAGCCACAATCGTATAATAATAATATTAATAATAATGACGACAATAAATCGTAATCGTAATAATAATATAGGCAAACTCTCGTAGCATTGTACTTAGCGTTATTTAAAATAGTAGCAATATTAGTTTTTTTTGTTTTCATGTACTGAATGTTCAAGTACGGACAGAAATCGATCTGAGTTAACTTCCTTTATGTATATTAGCAATATGGAGGGAATTCACTAACAACTTGCTTAAAGAGTGCAGCACATTCTCACACATCTATAAACAAATATAAAAACTCTTCTCTTGCGCGACCTCTCGTCACCTCGATGCATTCTCATCCATTACGCTGCCTCCGCGCTTATTAAATAATTGCGAAGATGCGTGCCGAATACACGTCATTATATTCGCTACCACGCGTCGTCGAAATTATCCCCTTTATCTCGCAATTTAACTACATCTCTCTCTCTTTAATTTGACTATTTTTTATGAACAAGGAGCAATTTGCCAATTTTATCTTCCTCCTTCGGCTCCAGATAGATGAACGAACGCAATTATAAATCGGCTAAAAGCAGGAAATGCAGATGGAATGTCGTGTGCCTCTCTTTTTTTTCCCCCGTTTTCTCTTTCCCGTATTTCTCAGCGTAGCGAAAATAAAGTGCATCGATAGGTGCGCCTATACATCGAGAACACACACGTAAACATTTACACGCGTGACATAAAAATTCGTTTCCGTACGTAAGAAAATTAGCGATATTGTTGAAAGCACCCAGACACAACCCTCAACCCTTCGGCATCTCACCCGTGTCCATCCCTCACCCTCTTCGCGTCATCCCTCCTCTCTCATTCACGCCCTCATTCTTCCGCGCGAACGAAACGACACGAACCGATGCAGAAGCACGCCCATAACGAGTGGCAAATACACCATTATTAACACGTTTCACACGTAACATTCTCCTATACATTTAAAAATTGTTTACCGGCGATCAATTTGCGCGGCTCGCCCATCTGATCGTCCGGTTGCACAGCAAGAATCGATATTACGACCGTAACGCTACCGTGATCTCGCAAGCCCAAGGTGATTGATCGCTAGAACGACGGCGCTATGCCTTTACTTTTATACAACTACACGTAAACAGTACGGCATATCTTTTTAAGTGTATCGATACCTAAATGCTGAGGATCGCAGGTGATTTCACGACAGCGATTCGACGGTAAATCTTGACTAGAACACGTATATCGAGGTGCAGGGAAATCTATTCCTTGTCATCGCACCTACCACTGAACAATACTACAATCAATAAAATCGTTTACACATTAAAAAATTTATTTAAATTATTAAGGATATACGCTTTGAAGATTTCGAAAACTACCCTTGTATTAATATTCCGGAGTTTCTTTCAAATCACTTTTTAGTTAATCCGTTACTAACAACTGACATACTTTGCTGGAATTGAAAATTTCGTTTGTTTCGCTTTAAGCAAAGCAAATGTAACGGTCAACTGAGAAATTCGAGAATAAATTATATTTATATGTATTTTCTCACTTTCATCCCGCGTTCTATCGCACACGAGAGAATTCCCGCACCCTCGCACCTCCCGTCATTCTTTCGTACACGAAGATTTTGCGACAACTGTCGTGGCAATCTTGGATCATCGTCGGCTACGAAGCAACGACAACAAAACGATTCTCCTCGTCTCTCTGTCTCCTTAGATAGATTAAATAATTACTTGTTACACATGATTAAAACCAAGTTGACGGCAATACACTACGTCCGGAAATACGTACGAATAACTGAAGTCTATACTTATGCGGCGTCCTGTGTCTACGACTAGCTCGTGAAATACACAAGGCTCAGAATGACAATACTCTGTAGTAACACTACAAGACTATCACATGTTCTACGATGACGTACGAACGAAAAAATCAAGCTAGTAATTCTAATCGCTTATGCGTGATCAAGCATCTTCTTCCCCATCGTTGTTGGATGTTAAGGTGTATGTCCGCTTTGTTTTTTCTCTTCATTCTCTCGCTCTCACATTTCACACACACTCTCTCTCTCTCTTTTTCTCGTCTCTCGTATATCCTACTTTATCTCGTCACTCGAGTCATCCTAGGGACGACGCATTCACACACAAACGCGATCCTCGACAAGTCGCGGAATGTTAAGGATGAATTCGGGATGTTACTTTAGCCTAAATAACTTGCTTTGCTGATTAGTATACGTCGCGTGCGAAAATACTAAGAAATATCCTCGCAAAAGTTAAGCTGGACGGCTTTGATAAAAATTAGGATCTCTTTCGAAGGACGCGAACATCAGGGTGTAGAAAGTGTTGCGACGGCGGCGGCGGCGGCTGCGGCGGGGGGTAGGGAGGTTGATACCGCGGCCGGGAGAATGATTAGCGAAAACGTATTTATCCGCGAAACATCTACCGGCACCGCTGATACCAGTGATATGCGGTGCGTTCGCATGCGTGTAGTCCGAACTGAACGTACAAGGTGCTTAGCCAAAAAGTTCGACGTGAGCGACATTAATACGCCTGAGAAGAATACAATGCAAACCTCTCGCGATAATACACGCCTATCGCCTCCTCGCCCCCTCTAATATATTGGAATCAAGCGCGCGTGTATGCACGTGTGTATGTATATATGTATAACGTGAAGAATTACATATCCGTATTTACAATTGGACATTTAACGCTAGAATGTCGTGGGCCAAATCCACGTGCAGTTCCAGGCATAAAAATAACGTATGTTCAGGCTCCGCCGTCTCTCGTCTCTAACGCGGTTTTCGCTCTTCGTGTCGGCGGTCGTCATTTTTTTTCCCCGGTATAGCGTACCCTCTTTTCTCCACGCCGCGAGAAGAAATCGCGCGAACACTCGCGAACGTAAGTAGATCCGAGTCTTCGTTAATTGACTAGCGTTTCGAGCGGTACGCTTTCGTGTTTTTTTTTTTTTACAAACTTTGCGACGTGGTTTGACGTCCACTCGGCAATTACGCGGGATAAACGGCCGGAACTCTGATTGCACCTCGCCCTCTGTATCACGCTCCGCTCGACCTCCTCCTCCACGGAAGCACTGCACGCAGCCAAGAAAGCGAGTTTTATTGCTAAACGTTTAAAATTCGCAGTGCACCACGTTCGTGTTTCATTGCCGCTCATTACATCTAATCCGAAACGACTGATAGAATATACTTTGCGTATCATAAATTGCGGCGAATCTAAGGATAGTCTGACGAGAAGCTGGCCCGTACAAATGTATCGCGCAAATAATATATAGCTCCCTCGTACATACATTCGTGAAATGACACGACTCGTGAATGTTCCACGGGAAATCGAACGAACAAAGCGTCATTTGTCCAAGAATTACATGTAAATTCGAAATTGTCGTACTAGTTGGAAAGTTAAGCGCAGGAGTTTGTCTTATGGGGTGCGCTTTTCTTCGTGTGCCTTCTTAGGCGAAGAGGAAGTCGTAATTTCAGTAACGCTGCTGGAATTCGTGATGCCATCTGTTAAAGTCGATGTGGAATATCACAATGGACCCATTTGCCAGACCAGCTAGAAGAAACCTGTAAAGAACAGAATATATTTGTAGTAATTTGTACTCTTCATATTATCAGGGTTAGGTAAGTTAATTTTTTTTGTAACTAATTGTAAGTTAAGTTAAAGTTAATGGCTTATAAAATTAATTTAATTACGTTAATTTGCATGAACAAAAAACTAACTCACATCAGTTAAAAATTGCATTAAGATTAAATTGAGTTAAATTATAAGTTAATTTTTAAAAGCATTATTTACATTAAATAAGAATGTTGTAATTTTTTAAAATTTGATTACTCTAAATAACAAAATAATTATAATATAGATCATTTTAATATTTTATTTGTAATTAAATTTATATAAAATAACAAAGAAATTTTGTTTATTTTTATATTATCATCCTTAGGCACTGTCACAAGTGTCACGCTCATCACAATCACATTGAGCTTTTTCTAAACTAATTGTCCAATGTTCAAGATTTTATAGAAAAAAAATATTGGCGTTCAGAGATAAAAATAATTTTTAATTTAGAAAAAGTCAATAAGTTTATGTGTTTAGAAATTAGTTAAATTAAAAATTAACTCACTTTAACTAATTATAAGCTAAGTTAAAAATTATTAACTTTTAACTAATTAACTAGATATTATCCAACCTTGCATATTATAGAACAATATAAATTTAAAACAGAAACTATGTGAACATTGTGTCATCATATTAAATATCTAAAAAAATTTTTTTTTATTAAATTCATATGTCGAGTTTACTTACTTTTGATCATGAGCAAGTGCGAGAGAACGCACGCTGCTTTCGCATGCAGGAAATGCATAAAGTAGAGCAAGGTTGAAAGTTCGCCAAACTTCTACGATACCCTTATCACCCCCAGTCATTAAGTATTCGCCGTCTCTGCTCAATAGTAAACACTGGAAATAAACAACGATATTACGAATACAATCGTATATAAATTATCAAAAAATTAAATTTAATCGCAAAAGTTAAGTACCTGTAAATTATCATTGTGAGACTCGTGACGAAGGCGTTTTCCGTTTATGGTGAAGGCCGCTATGTGCCCACGTTCGTAATTTACCACGATGACGCCCTCGCGGGACATAGCGATGTTCTCGGGAGACGAAAATCCGTTCGGTGCTTCGAGCGATCTTAGGAGATCGCCGAAAGTAGTATGGACGAGTACTGGGCCGTCTGTATCGAAGTATTCGTAATATTAAAAATCAATCAAATTATCTCAAGATCAAACGTTCTAAATTCAATATATCAGTATATCTATAATTATTACACAATAATTACAGAGTAAAAAAATCAATTAAAGCATTAGTCAATCAAATCAAAGTATCTTTTTATACTTTTTCTTAGGATCAATTCTTTTTTCAACTTGTAATACGTACAATGCGATCCCGAGACAACCAAACCCAATTCGGCGGATATGACGACGGCCGTCACAGGCTGTTCGTGACCTGTAAGGGTGGCACGTGGCGCCGGTGCTTCACCCTCACCGACGATAGTCTGTGTCCTTGCGTTCCAATGCCAGAGAAGGACAGTGCAGTCAGCACTTCCGGACGCGATGTAACAATCGGAAGTAATGTTGCACTCGCTGCGCGATAAGCAAGTGACAACTCCGTAATGACCGAACACTATCTGGACGATTTTTGCTGCAAATAATAATTTTTTCTTTAATAGAGCTTACCATGTGAAGAAACATGTAAACTAACAATTATTTATCTATTAACCATCTATTTATCGCGTTAGGCACGATCGATTGTGAAATATTAAGACTCACCTGTTTCGGTGGAAAAGACGCGGAAACTATTGTCCCAAAATCCGCAGGCCACCAAGAATCGGCTATCCACAGTGGTAACAAAGCAATTGCTACGAATCTTGAGCTTTTGGCTAAAATTGTCGCCTAGATGTCGACGTTGTAACGTTGGATTCGAGCTATTTGCCGCTTGAGCTAAAAATATAACGGCACAGTATTGTTAATTAGTATGCACAATAAGACATCATCTTGAAAAATGTTACTTCACCTGTATGTGTACGTGTATACTTACAAAGAACAGGATCCATGGACAATGGCTGATTGGCAGCCTGCGCCTGAGGTGTATCTGCATAACTCGGAGATTGCACGGAGGCTGCAAAAGGGTTTAAATTGCGATAACTGCGAAGTGGTGAGGATAAACTTAAGTACCAGTAGTGCGTGTAGAAAATTACTTTACCTGCATAATTGGTATTCCACCGATTAACAGCGAACTGCTGTCCGGTAGTTACCGTCACAACCGATGGCAGTGGCAGTTGAGGATAAGTGTTAGCCGAGATGTGACAGATCGGCGAGTTAGACGGGAACTTGATGGTCATGCACACATCATCCGGAATGCTCGAGAACATCATTGGTGACTGAAAGAAAATATTCTCAACCTTTTTTACGACCGGATGTAAAATTACCTTTCCATGTATATGTCGAGATAATCTCACCAAATGCATCGCTGAACTTCTCGGAGGATGCGGCTCCATCAAAAGTTGCGACGGCGTTTGTCCGAAATTTTTAATTTGATTCTCTATAGCTTCCCTCATCATGGGATCGGTGATCGTGTCCAATTCCACGCTACCCTCGTACGTTAAATAGTAGAAAACGTTGGTTGCACGTACGGCTTCCGGGCCTGCGAGAGAAACAAAGTAATCGAAACTTTACACAAAGATCTTTAACGCGTTACCCTCTGCTACAATTTTACGATCCTGTTTTGCGCGTTGTCGCGCATGCTGCGCGACAAAGTGCATTCTTCGGAAACGATTCTGAGAGAGCTCTCGACGATTGCTTGTGCTCGGTATTTCCGGTTGGCTCCACTTTCGTGCTACCGGCTGCGTAACGTAAACGTGTTGCATATTACGGGTGGGACGCATTGTCGCACTCGGCACACGTGCCTAATTGGCCGGGACAGGGACCAAGAAAGAGGAAGCTAACTAAAAACTAATTCCTTCCATACGCGCGCTTTCGTACGCCAGTCATCTTCCCTCGCTCCCTCGCGCCCGATGCCGAGGCAGCATCTTCGGGGAAGCGCCGGATATAGAGGCGCCATCAGCAATTAACATCGGTGGAAATCTAATTTGACTCGACTACGCCTCCGTCCCAACACCCAAGGCGCAACCTTGGGCGCTCGCAAGTGGCGCCTGCCATTGTGCGAACATTTATTGATTTAATTTTCGGGGTATCGCCCGAACCGAACGCCATGAATGATTTTGCGATCGATGTACATATATCTCAATAAGACCTTATCATTTTAGACAAAATTACAGAGATTTCATTTCTCCGTGATACCGAATATGATGGATTTAATATATATTTAAGAATAAATTATATAATATATATGTGTGTGTGTGTGTGTGTGTGTATGTATATATATATATATATATATATATATATATATATATATATATATATATATATATCACGTTTTTAATATCGAATTTATGATAAATTCTATAAATTATCGTAATTTGTTTTAAAGTTGTTCTTACCTTTCTGTTTATAACCGAATATCAAGTCGATCCATTGATGTAATTGACAAGACACAAATTCGGACTCGAGTGCCTAAAAAAAATACAATTTAATAAAAACATTTATTGTAAAACATGTGTGTGTGTTTATTGCATATATTTTTGCATATGTTAATATTTTTTAACTTAAAGCTTATATTAAGTCTTAACGTTGATTCTAAAAAAGTTAATCCCGTACCATTCGATTTATACGTATAAACTCTTCGGGTGACGAAGCCCAAGGTGGTAATTCAACATCGCCGACCGCGCTACCATCCTCTTGCCTACCCAAACGGTAGCGGTTGCTGTTCACTAACATTTCCGGCAAAAAGAAGAATTCCGGAATCAGCTCCTGTTAATAAAAAAGCGAATTTATAGCTCCGTCGATCTTTAGTATATAACAAGCGACGTATACGATCGAAAATTTATGCAGTAACAATGATAACAATGGATATTCACCGAGGCGTGGCGGGAATGTAAATTTTATGAGTATCTTAATTAAATGCAACGAACCTTCACGTCGGATGTATCGCGTTGGCAATTCTTCCACGAGAGCGCGATGGATGAAAACAGTCTGTTAGGATGATCGAATTTGCCGCCTTGTAACGCCAGGAACATAGTAGTCATCGGTTCCTGTAAGGATAATTTATTTGTAGAAACCATTTTAGAGCAACCAGTTGGGCCCTCTCGCAACGGGAGCAACATAAATCCCGCAGAATGTCAATAGGGATGAGACGTAGAGACGAGTGTGAGTTGGGGCGGAGAAAAAAAAATGCGGCTCGACTCTAAACCGCCACTTAGGGACACTTTATAGGCGGTCCTTTGTGCGCGCGGTTTCTTGCGATGAGGCTCCTCTCGTCTCTCGGTCAGTCATCCGTTCCGTTGACAGGCGAACGAATGCAAAGCGAGAGGCCACACACATAATCGACATGCACTTTCGTGCCGCGGCACGAATGCGAGTGTACATAAGAGCGTAAACCCGATTTTTGCATTCTATTGGGAACGCGATCCTCGTTGCATACCTACCAGGCCTAAAACTATTTCTTTATGGCAGAACTCCGCGATAATGCTATAAACGGATCGTTAACGCATCTTAAGCGGACGAAACGGCCACGGCGGGGCAAGCGGTTATAGACCAATAAATTGTTTATGATGCAATATTTTATCGTGCAAGTGCCTTGTACGGCGAATAAATAATTAGGTGCGTTATGTCATTGTTTTGAATTTAAATATGCCGAAATAATACGAATACTTCAAACACGTTTTAGATTCATTTAAATATTCTTTAAGACCAATTACATAAATTCAATGGTAATATCATTGGAATAATAGCAATAATTGACAAACTGCCGGTAGATTAAGTTACAATCAACAAAGATATAACATATACCTACAATGAAATAAACTTTCTATATAAATTATATTATCTACTTTAGTCTGAAAAAAAAAAACAAAGAAAGAAAGAAAGAGGGAGATGAAGACGTTTATTCCAGTTAGGCCCTGAATTTCAAGTGAACGAGGAAATGCAGCAGAAAACAAATGTGTATATTTAACGAGAAGGCGGGCGTCGTTGGCACGAGGGCGTTCCGACGCCCCCAAATTAGCGTGCACGCAGTACTAAAAGTGTCGTTTAAATTTATGGTGCAGACTGGACACGCTCCGTAAGTGGAAAGACCAAAAATCAGCGATTGGAAGCTAATTATACGCCCATTATACGAATAAAGACCCGATTTTATATCCTGCGTTAAACTTCGATTTCACTCGAATCTCGACAAAGGAAATGACGCGACGGATAATTAATATTTTCACTTAACAAATACGTTTGTAAAAAATAAATGTAGATAAATGCAAATTAATAAATTTTCCATTTTTCTCGTATTTAAATGATAATAATTGTTATAAAGATATACTATCTGTGCTTTTTTTACAGCTGTAAATAAACGAAACAAAGTTAAATATTATCGAGCATGCTATTTTTACAAAATAACAAGAGACTTACCACGCGTATCATCCAATTTAAAACGAAGGCTGCCGTAGAATAATGCGTGCCGTAATGGAAGGGCGGTATAGTGTCGTGTTCCCAGCTCTGGAAGCGCTCCTCGAAGTAAGCTCTTCTGTTTGGATTTAGCGCGCCAATTGGCTGTAAAATACATAAATATTCTTTAATTGTTTATTTTAAAAAATTTGCTGCAATATCTCGAAAATTCAATATCATCAAATATGACTTATATGAAGAGAATGAGATAAACAGAATATGTCTCTCATTACAATATATTTCGCTAAGTTTATACCTTGGACAAATCTCGATAATTGCTCGGTAAACTGAGATCGAGTTCCTTCGTCTCGTAGTTTGTTAACACCCAAGGAAATACAGGATACTGGTTCAAATCATTGTACGTGCGGCCTGAAAAGATACAAATTTACTTCCTTTAGAACCAAGAACATTTTATTTCTTGATTGATTTATCATGTTCCGCATCGTCGATAAATTCTGATGCTGATGATACTAATACCTAACGGGGTCTTTTAAGTTAAGGCCATGTATGTATCTCTTTTTTTCTCTTATATGACCTTAAATCATCGCTCGGTATCCCACACAAAAAAAAGACCGAGGAAGTCTCGGAACGGGTGGTATTTAAATTAAATTCCTCGTACGTACTGCCGAGAATAGAAAGGGAAGATCGCAGTTTGGTTTTTAATGCGGATAATCGCCGACTTAATTTTTTCCTCGCTCTGACCCAGCGTCTCAGCCACGGTCACTCCTGTCTATCTCGCACCCCCGCTGTTAGCTAAGGGCGACGAAAGCGGCCACGAGACCGCGCCGCGCCGCGGCTCGTGATTCTATTTTTACGAAAAACGCGCCATGCGGCTCAATGGGGCGCGGCGCGCCGTTTAGTAAGCGCATAACTCAGAGCGTGACGGCTAATCGCTCCTGAAATTGTCACTCCCAGAGGTCTTACTCGTGCCCCCCTCCCCCCTATGGAATCCCATCCCGAAATGCATTAGTGACGGCAGCGCGGTCCCAAGGCTGAGTTCTAATCTCTTTCCCTGTCGCTAATTAAAGCACGTCAGCGAGTTTGTCACTCGGCGCCCTCGTGACGGATACACGTGTGTGTCACCGCGCGTCCTCCCTCGCTCCGGTTACTTCGTTTTCTTTCGCGGCCGTATATTCGGCGTCATAGCACGCGAAATGTTCCCACTCGCGTGATAAAGCGCAACGGAAGCGATTAGATAGTTAAACTCGCCGAAGCAATCGACTTGTGCTAAATCTGCAAGTGCAATGCATCGTTTAACAAACGCAAAATAGTGATATACAATATAGTAGAAGTTTAAAACACCGATATGCGATTTTGATATTAAAAAAAAAACATTTAACTGCTCGTTATCACTTTGACTGCCATGTCGTCCGTATTTGAGTGATGCGTTAATTTCCGCAAAAAAGAACAGAAAGATATTAAAATAATACACTATATATAGATATATTAAGAATAAAATTATTCATTTTTTATTTTTCTGCTTATATCTGTTTCAATGATAAAAATATTTGTTATTTCGGTTTGTGACAGCTTTATTTATTTCATCTAAAATTATATTAATATATAATAATATAAAATAAAAATAACGTATATATAATATTTAACATATAAATTTTTCATATATTTATTAATTTTTTCGGTATGGTTTATTTTATAATATGACTGCACATTTTATCAACAGTATTTATTTCTCGATTCTGTTTCTCTCTGCAGAACTCAATATTAAAATCAGTTTTGGCAGTCAAAATGTTAATTATTATCGCGAATACGTCCCTTTATTAGAGCGCATTTCGACAAGAACTGTTAGGCTGTGAGACCGCGTCTCTAAGAAGTTCGCCGAATACTTAATTCCTTCAACGAAAAAAGGCGACGCAACGGCAAAAGTTGTACCGCGTCGGCCGCTGCACAAGTCCCACCGTCGCTACAATACGACCGTAAATCGTGGGACGCCGCGCGAGCGACGGCTGTGCGTAAATAATAGCGAGGCCGCGTTATGCATCAAAGTGATTATTAATGGTAGCGTCGGCGTGAGTGAGCGCTCGGGGAACGCGCCTCGACAGCGGAATGTCCGCGACACAAACGCACACACGTATTCGCCGTGTCCGCTCGTTTCTCTCGTCTTAGGGAGACATCAGACCTTAACCCTTGCTTTCCTCTCCCCGAATTTTATCCCCGTTCTAGAAGAGATACGAACAATATTCGGAAAAAAAGTTTACGGATCGTAATAATTTGCGGCGTACAACGGGAGCAGTCGCGCGAATGTAAGAGTCGAAGGAATAACGCGCGTGCAAAGTATCGTCTTACCCCCTAAATCCGGTTTTTCGAAATTTAACATAATGCGTAATTTAATGATAATTGAGAGAGTCGTAAAATTAGGACGTCGAGTATTTATTTCGGTTGAGGTAAAACGATGTTTACACTACGTTTGTGTATCGTGATTATAGTCGTTCTGTGTACGAATGGATCGGTCGGCCGGTCGCTTTATCGCGTTGTGTCGCTGGTCGCTGCCGTCCTCGGCAATAATTCACTGCGAAGCAGGACCAGCCTAGATACGATCGAAAACGAAGGCGACGACCTGTTGGCAACTACCTGGGATAAAAGGTCCGTGGTTCGGCGTATATATAAAACGAACCGCATACATTTTGAAAAATAAACGCGACAGATATATGGAGATACTCGTGCATCAATACTCTTTGCGCACGCGTGCGTATGCCCATCGTACATTACATTATATTATATTCCGCGATAATATTTATGCTCCACATTTTTTATTCACTTTAATAAATATTTAAGTAGTGAATGTTATGTGTTTCTCGAGGTGTTTCTCTTTTTTATCAAGCACAAATAAAGTTGATATGCGAAATATGATTGCAAAGTATATAAATAGATTTGAATTATCGCGATATCCGCGGGATGTGACCAAAGCAATTATACTGAGAAGAGTTAAGATCAGATTGCGTTGCAATCGGCATGCCGCGGGCTACGAACTGCTATACGCATTTTGCACAGGGTGGTCCATAAAGTGTTGCAAATCATTTTCCGCGGGAAACAATACGGAGACGGCGACAAAATGTGACTATGGATGGGAATGTGAATGTGAAGGTGAATAACCGATATTCAAGAAACGCGCGACATTTCCCGAGGAGCATTTATCGATCGTCGCCGTCTTGGACGATCGCTCTTCGCGATTCGCCCTGTACACGCGCGGTCGGTTCGCTGCCGCCGCCGCCGCGCCGGTGCGGGCTATCGTATTTACATTGGATTCACTGTCATTAATTTTTAATAAACCGACGCGCGGAGAGCAAATAAAATCCTGATCGTATGCGGGAGCGTGGACCGGCGCGGCGCGGCGCGGCGCGGCACGATACGGCGCGGCGTGGCGCGGACCGGTTCGTTTTCGTATCGATTCTCCTTCTCTCTCCGATTCCAATGATTCTCGCTGCTCTCGACGTTAGAGCCGCGGCCCCCGGTACCCACGGCTATTTATTCGAGCAATTAATATATAACCCTCGTAAATACGCGGCTGCGGCCACCCCCGGGCATCGCGGCGGACTGCGCCGAAATGCGAATAATTACGCGTCCGTGCTCATCGCCGTCATTAAGCCGAGCTGGCCGATCGACCGCGGGCGTGGGTGCGCATAAATCCCACGCGGGCGGTATAACTTACGAGGAGCTTGAGCGTGCGCCCCTATACATATAACCGACTCGTTTACAAGAATCGCGGCCGATCGGCCGGTTAATATTGGCCGCGACGACGATCGGCGTGCCGCCCGCAACACTATCGTGCGCGCCGGCGATTATCATCGAAGGAACTTGGCCTGTGGGGAGAGGAGGGCAGCGAGAGATCGATCACTCTCGGAGAGTCGATGAACCTCGCGGCAAGTGAAGAGAATCGTTTGATGATACGTTTGTTTCTTCCGTAGGCTTCCTGCGTGTAATATCGAAGACAAATGGTGCCCGTTGAATCCTCTCTTCCGTGAAATTAAAGATAAATTGGTTCTACCGTGCGCGCACAATAATAAAAGCACAACGAGCGAGCACGCTTTGCGTGTAAGTATCATTAAATCTCGCGTAAATGTTGTCCGTGGAGAAGAATACGCTTCGATGAAAGGGCTGCAGCAAGGTGATCGGGATACGATGCGCCCGGTTGGATTCCGTCGTGACTCGTCAAGAGGCGTCCGAACTGTCTCGTTAAAAAGCGCACGAGGCGGGGGCGCGGTGTCTCGAGTTTCGTGATTTGGTTCGATAAACGCGCGCGCGAGGGAGCCGATATTAAACCGAAGAGAAACAAAGACGCGCCTCCATTTCGCCCTCAGCCACGCGAGGCGGGAGAGGGGGTGGTGGTGAGTCCCTCGGGAGAGGATTACCGGGGTCCACAAGGTTGGGATTACTCGCATGGGGTAGCTAACGGAACACAGGGCTGATTGAGAACATCCCTAATGCGCCGCGACAGACTCCATCCGCCCGTGTGCGCCCATAAAAAAGCCCCGGCATCTTCGCTAGTCTCGCGCTCCTTTCTCTAATCGATACACAGGTCAGAATCGACCGACCGACCGACCGCCGGTCGATTTCGATCGCGTTTTACATTTATCTTAAAGTAAAGGTACTTACCGGCGATTGTATTCAGAAACATCAGATACTCGAAATTGGATATCTCCCGACGCTGCCACTTTTGAGTCATGTTAGAGCTTCTCATCAACTGTCGCGGTGACATCAACGATGCCCGTCTGTAAAATAAATGAAGTTTTACCAATTACAGTATCTACACAGAAAAAATAGTGTCAAATCGAAACTTATATATACTAGTTACTAGTATATATGTAAAACAATGTATAATCTTCTTATAAGAATTTTGACTTTTTATTTTAATTTTTTTTCTTGATTGAATTATATAAAACTTCGTTTAACTATATAAATGACTTCATTCAAGCAAATTTTCTTCGTTTAACGCAATATAATCTCATTTCAAGATTATATATTCTTGCGCATATTAGTGTTGATTTGGTACTTCTTTTTTTCTATGTATATAGCATATTCAAATTAAAATATATTAATATATGAAATGTAACTAATAAAAAACAAAGTAAACACAACTTTTCGGTAAACCGTATACGTTCTCCGATTAATTTACTCCAATCAGTTAATACCTAACGCGAGTCGAAGAAACAGTTCTGGTTGCTCGATTTTTGCATAACGGTGACTACAACGTTCCTCGGTTGTCAACGATATTATTAACGACTTTATGTATCAATATAACATTTTATCTCAACCTATTTTTGCCACGAGTATTTAAAACGTCCATATCTCTGCTCGTTAGACCGAAGTATGAAGGATCGCGTAGGTATATGGAAATAAGAATATCCATATGCATTATACTTAAATGCATTGAAGCTACACGCGCCGACAATGAAGTGTCCATAATCGAACAAGCCTGGACGACTTATGGTTCGCCGCCAAAACGGTAAATTGCGTGCCAGATTGTGGGCCACATTGCGCGGACGTGTCACTTCTCGGCATCGCGCAGCGCGCTTTAATTGCCAAATCAAACGAGCGGTACATCGGCTTTGATACGCAATTAAGACGGCGGTCGGGCTCAATTCACAAGAGCAATTACGTCAAGACGCGCTCATTCCGGCACTTTGCGTTCGCGCCATAAAGCCCGTTGTGCGTCTTTATGAATGCGAACATCGCTGATTTAGGATTTATACGAGAGACTTTAACGGGCATTCGTCCTTCAGATGTTGAAGGAGGGTACACGACGACGACCGGACGCATAAATTCAATCCTTGGATTCATCTCGCGTAAATTTCATGCGAGCATGAAAACTTCCAGAACGATCGGCGACCGGCAAAATGCCGACTGCATTTCTCAAAAGCATAAAACGTCGAAACGTAATCACACTCTCGTATGAAAATTTGTATGTATTGTTTGTTAGATTCCTCAACGATTTATGAATGTATAATTAAAATAAATGTGCGTAAAATATGATTATACATACATATTATACATACATATTTAAGTCGTGCATGCGATCAGAACACGATTTTATAGCTATATTCTATTCATGTTACCTGCGGAGTAGATTAATATTCACGGCAAGGTCGGTAGATGTAAATTAACATGTAACTGATATGCTAAAGAAACGCCTAATTATTATCGACTTATATGTATGTTAATAAATTTAGATACAAACACGCGAGCGAGTCTTACGGAGTTATATCCTTGATATTTATATGTAAAATATTTTTTATAAATCTATATAATTATCTATATTATAATTATCTATATATCTATATGTATCTATTATCTATATATCTATATGTATCTTCTGCTAATTAAAAAATGTATTGCAATTGAAGACATTGGCGTAAGAGATAACTATGTTATATTTAACTAGTTAGCGTGTCAACATTTATATTCAATATTCAATGATTCTGCGAAACTATTAAAGTTGATTTCGCGGATCTTCTTTAAATACATTGTCCATTCACAATAATAAACAATTCTTATTAAACTAATATTATGGAAACATGTAGAATGCGTCATGTTCATTACATCAAATTTTAATGAAAGATATTTTTGGTGAATAAAAAAAATTAACATTTCCGACATTTACATTTTTAATATTGCATACCTCAATATAATTAAAGTTGCGATAAAAAAATCTGTCTAAACGAGCTCATTGAGATTATATTAAAATGCAATTTGTTTAAAATTAACCGAACAATAATTGTAATATATCTTCAAGAATAATGCGATACGCTAATTAAACATTAATTAAGGAATTTTTCTCGTCAATGAATATGTTTCTTCATACGTCACAACGCGAATTCGCATTTTATATACCAAACGAATTATTTCGGTTAGCCAAAAGGAATTTTCTCTCTTCTCAGATCAGTCGGAGAGAGAAACGTCAGAGTTTGCCGTCGTATATTTATGGCCGATGTATCCTTCTCGCCGGCTATCTCGTATATAGGAACGTTGTAATGGATGGGTCGAGAAGCGCGGATATACGCGAACCTCTGTTCTTGCCGCCGACTCTTGCCGACCTATGGGAGACTTCTCGTATCCTGCGAGAATCTCTCTCTCTCTCTCTCTCTCTCTCTCTCTCTCTCTCTCTTTGGTCCTTACGATACCACAATACGAGAAAGACATAGAACTTTATGCAGGGACGAATGTTGCGTCTTTGCTGTCTTTCCTACGTTCGTTCATATTGTATAACTTTCGTTCTTTCAGATGTCATAAATACTTATCTTATAAGGAAAGCGTGAAGAGTTAAGATAAAACAATAAAATAATATGTTGGCAATATATTATAAACTAATAAAAACTTTTCTATGTACAAAATTTCATTGTTTAATATATCTTCAATGTAGAATTCAGTGACATCTACAATAATATATATATTAAGATAATAAAACAGTAATATATGTGCGTCTAATAAATAATACGTCATTTCTTACAAAAAATACCAATTAAATAAAAAATAATATAAGTTATTAATAAGTTGAATAAAAGATATCTTTTGGAAGTATGATGAAAATAGCAGAACAAACATAAGTAATTAAAATGTGTTGTAAAAGGACACTTGTGCATGGATATAATTTTCAATGTTATCATGCACTTAATCGCGATGTAACTGATATCTATTATCGCTTTCAAGAATCAACTCAACGCTAAATCATTATCCAAAAATATTCTTTATCTCATCTTCTTTCTCCATTTGATTTACTGATAGTGACTAATTAAAATATACTTTCATTCTTATTCATTTGTACTCCTACAGTTGGAATATACGCTGAAAATGATAAATATCTGTAGAAAGAAACGCTTCGAATCCGTCCCTGGAATCGTTTAACCGAAAAGGACAAAGAAACGAGGGAATGCGACGAGCATGTTTGGAAGTAGATTCCGAGATCCTTAGATCTTTCCGTGGAACGACAGAAGCGCTTCCTTCCTCTGGGCTGGTTATCGCTTACCTAGTTTGGGGTATCCCGTACTTGATGCCAACACCGACTCGCGGTAGCGCCTTGATCATCTTTTTCACTGTCGCCTGGTCCGAGAACGCAAACAAGATCGAAGCTGCGGGCAAAAAGGTGTTAAAGCGTGAATTATAAGCGAGTCCGATTTCAAGGATACGTCGACGTCAATCATTCGGATGATAAACGAGAGAGATAGAATTTCTTCCTGTTTTAGAAATCTAATTCTTCAGATTCAGACATGTATTTACATATGAGAATATCGATAAAGATTACGGTTTAATGAAGACATTGTGTCAAAGATAAAGCGGTAACATTGCCTTTAAATACCGCAAGAATATCGCTATTTAATCATTATGCTAATATTATCAAGATATCAGATCGTGATGATAAATTAATAAGTATAATTGTATCCAATTTATTATACAATGACTAGGCTTGTGATAAATTTGTAGATTTTAAAATCGATTAGCTTATTCTCGCGAAATGATAGAAAGCCAGAGAGAGACTCAATCGTTCAGAGTGCGTCCCCGCGACGTTCCCCCTGAGAGTTCAAAGGGTAGCGTGCGAAGAGATGGTTACCATAAATACTTCTTAGTAATTTACCGAACTATCTGTACACGAAAGCAAAATGCTCGTGTAATCTTAATTAAGTCGAGAAAAAAAAATTCAATCGTTTTACTTTTATACGAATAAAATATAGCGAATATTCCTATATATGCGCATATATTTTAAAATCAATTTTTCTCTTTTCTCTAAACAAATAGTATATTCTCATAGTTTCAATAAATATCGTATAAATATCTTCCCAAGCAATGTAAATCGACATTCTTAATCAATGCGCGCACGCGTTCGGTTTATATAACATTATTTATTATACACATGTATATTTAGTACGTATGAGGTAGCATGCATATATATATTCTCTCCAGCTGCTCCGCACTTTTTTTTAAATTTCTGCTGGTACGCGTTAATCTTCTAATTATGAACATTCGCACGCCGGTAGTGAGACAAGCAGATGCCTTCAGCAATCACTTTGTTGCAGAAACCGCCCTTATTCGCGGCAATGTCCGATAACAGCGTAAATTACGCGAGCGAACACAAGGTAAGTAGCATGTCGAGAGGCGGTAATCGTAAGAGAGCCGTCTCGCAGGCAGCAGGACTGCTACGTTCCATATAACGAGGAGGTCCCTTCATACGTAATTTTGGACGACCGTAACGTAAAGCATATACGGCCCCGGTGAGCGAAAGTTACGCCGCGGTCCCGTTATAAAGTAACTCATCCTCGGTTTTTATTGTTCGACGATTTATCGCGAGAGGAGAGACGCGATCCGTGCGTGTTCCCCGGCGTTTTTCGGCTAACGAACGCGCGTTTCCAGTGATTTTTTAATGAACGGCGAAGGCACCTCGCAGGGATGACATTCCACCGCTAACCGTCTCCTCACGAGACGCGACGCATCGAAAGTCAGGATCAGATTAGAATCGGGGAACGCCTTGGGAATTTATCTGCGCCCCGGAGAAATAATCAGCGGGATAGTGGACTGTGAGGCGCAGGTATAAATAATTCTCTCGCGCGGTTTGTTATAAGACACGGCAAACCGCCACGGATTGAACAAAGGACGAATAATCTTTGAACGTCATTATCAGTAATTATGCGAGCGCGACGAGAGTCCATTAATATATAAAATTTCGATTTCAACTATTTAACATTCAATTAATGAGAAACGCGGCGCGGCGGTTTTACATTAATTCTCGATTAAAAAATGACGCCACCGTGCTTGCGGAAAGTTAAGTTACGATTGCGACGTGACGCTGCGGGATAAAGTGCAGTAACGGCGGCAGGTGTGCCCGCGGGATTGAATAACAAATTGATTTTGGAAAGAGACATACCGTAATGCGGGCGAGATATTTATTGTGTAAAAACCAACGCGCGGCGCGCAACACCTTGCGGCGAGTTCGGAATTCCGTCGCGCCGCTCGTTCGCCGGATTAGATCGCATCGCGCGAAATAACGCGAAAGGGACTCGGGGAGTCGACAAGAAACAGAATGCGCTGAGCGCGCGCTCTCGTCCGAGAGCGGCGCACTGATTGAGGACGAACAAAACAAGAGGAATTGCCGGCACTTACTTCTGCTGGCGAGGAAGATCTCGATGGCCATATTTTGCAGCAGATAACGCCGCGAGAAGATCGCGCGGACCTCGGAGAAGTACCATTTTCCGTGCAAGTGGTCGCAGTACTTCAGTACCTGGAACAAAAATTATATACACCCTCCTTTTATTAATCATTTTAAAAGAATCGGACAATTGTTAAATAATACATATATCTATGACATGAATATTTTGTAATATACGATTTCATTCGTTTATAATTATAAAAAAAGATTAACTTACATATTTTAAAAGATGTCCTTCGGTTGATCTTAGTTGCTACTGTCTTATCTATTGTCATTTTTGTATAAGTGGCTAGATTTAAAAAATGTTTATTCTGCCTCGTAATTAATTATTTATCGCTACGAGCGCGAGACACCTTTCGAAATGACAATTAAGTGAGCGTTTCCCGACATCGCGAGGAAAATGCCCATTGGGGTCCAAGGCGGTATGGTCCGAGGGTACGAGCGCATGGCTGAATATAAGAATGCAACCGCGGTGCAGTGAAGTGTGATGTGATATAGTGAGACTAGTGCCGGTTGCAAGATGGCCGTCATGGTAGGAGGAGCCTCCTGCTGAGCCGAGAATCGATCCCAGGACCTCGCGGACTTGCGCTCTCGAACGAGTCGTGAACAACTCGTTGGCGAAAGAGGGAGAGGTGGAGAACAGAAAGAACGAGGTTCGGCGAGAGAGAGAGAGAGAGAGAGAGTGCGAGTGCGCGCAGGGTGGAAGGGAAAAAAGGATCTTCGGCGTATACGCGGGATAAGAAAGAAGGGAGACAAAGTGAGGGATCCCGGATTTACCACCCCGGCATCTAACGAGGCCTTCAATTTTTGCCTCTTAATGAGGACGTATCGTGCCGCCGCGATGTCCTTACGCGCGGCGAATGAAATTATCCTCGAAATAATTCCGCCAAAATGATCCATTCAGCTGATTACGCTCGAGAGGTCTGCGGTCAGAAATGCTAATAAGATCTTATCTGTTGGTTTTCGTCGTTTGTTAGGGCCATCTTTCGTGATAAAAACGCGAGTATCGTAAACGTAAGCGTAACCAGAAACGTTGTCGAACTTATCAAAGGTGACACCGGTACTCGAAGACACCTTAGCATCATGTTTATACATGTATAATTATTTTATTATTCTTCAAAAGTTTGATAAGTTGTGACTATAATATGTACATTTCGCAAACACCTTTATAGCATAATCAATTTTATAGCAATGGCGGATGAATTCCAATGAATACGAGAATTATACACGTGTACGTACTATACACACAGAAACTATATAATTAGACAAATAAAAAAAAAGAAATAAATATTAAAATTCCTTAACTAGACAGTCATTAAGTTTTAACAAGCCGAAATAGAAAACATTCGTATATTTCATATACAATTTTAATCCTAATGAGTGCAATTGTTTCAATTAATAAACCAATAATCATCAGTAAAGAATAGATCGCTAGTATACGGAAATTAATACAGTATCCAACTCTAACATTTCTATATTGTTCTATATTTTATGATATTGTATTTCGTAACATCTATAAGAACCGAGTAAGAAACATTTACTTCGCCAGAAACTAATAAACAATTAAGAATTCTAATCGACTTGACTAGCTATTATCGTCATGACAATACGACCATTGATTTTGATTAGATTATCATTAGATATTTCGGACCATGGGTTTTGGTCTTTCTAAATTAATGTAATTTTGATGCTTATATCCTAATATTTAAATAATTTAAGTTATTGCGGAAAATATTACCTCAGTCAGAATAATTGTGATAAATATTACCACATGCATCAGTGGTCGAACTGGCACGACACCCTATACGGAATAATGGGGGAGGTTCCAAGTTCGTACCCTGGCTGAGGTAATATTTTTTATCTGCTAACCTGACCAAAATCAATGGTCATATTGTCATGACGATGATAGTCGAGTCGATTAGAATTCTTAATTATCTACATTTTACAAGAGCGTTATCACAGCAAGTCATCAAAATAAATTCCTTGCACGATGATGATTCTTCGATGTCGAACATATAAGAAATAAGTCAACTTCATTAACGAAAAAAAAAATGTTAAAGCATGTTTTGAATTGTTGGATATATGTTAAACGTAACGATGACATCCCATACGAATGTCAAAATTGTAGATTGTAAGCTTCAAATCTCTGGGGATCATAAATGTCATATTGACTTGTAATAAAAGCCCGAAACAGTTGCCGACGAAAATTGGGGTGCGTGTAAACACACCATGGGTTTAAAATATTTTACAATTATAATAAAAGAAAAACAATATATTTATAGCAAGCAATTATTTTTCAATAAGCAATAAGCTTAAGTAATATAATAATTTTTCTATTTTCTTTTCACAATCTTAACACATTCGATCACTTCAGGAAATGGGATATATCGTTCTTTCATGCTTGACATTGACTTCGAGTGACGAGATATGTCACATTATGCACTTATGCCGCAAACCGTGTAAAGAATATAGTCAATAAAGCATTTTTGAGTACTTATGAGTACTAGAGTTCTCTATAAGAAGCCCAACCGAATTTATATTGACGTTATCTATAGAAAGAGTGGCTGTCTAATATTCTTCTTCTTTTTTATCTAACTAGTGCTGGGTGAATACCTACTCTCTACATCTGAATCAGTGAATAGTCACTGATTCAGCAGTACTATTCACTGATTCAGATTTAGAAAGTATATATTCGTATTTGTTTGGATTTTTCTTTTTGCAGTTTTTTATCGTTTTTTAATTTAAAGACAAGTAACATTTGTTCTTTATTCAAAGCAGGTAGAGGTCCCGATTTAATATTTAATCTTCTTTTTGTGAGATAAATTGTGTTATACTTCCTAAAATCAAAAGATAAACATGAAAAGTCATTGTCATCATTTATCTGAAGATGAGTTTTCTGTGTGTGTGTGTGTGTGTGTGTGTGTGTAATATTCCTATTACGAAAAATCCTGTCAAGTACCGTTACATCTCGACTAATGTTTTACGGATTACCATTGCCTTAAAAGCCATTAAATTATGTGTGGAAACGAATTTAATTCAATAAAATTATGAGTTTCACATTTTGATGAGTTTCAGTTTTTCTTTTAATTTTAATAATTTTTCCAATATCACGCCAGACTTTGGAAAATGCCCGAATGTTAATATTTTTCGAGTGAAAATCACCCGAAGCGAATGTGTTAAGAGTCACGCGGTGATCTTGTGTACGGTGAACGTAACGCGCAAGGTTGGAAACCAGCCCGGGTGCGAATGCACAAAGCCAACCCCTGGAGCGATCTGCGCAAGCTCTCCGCAAACACTGCTCGAGATTGATAAGGGCCGCATCGCGCCTCAGAATCCATTATTTGGATACCTGCGGCAGCAATACAGATATATCACGTACTCCGCATTAAATCTTGTCAAGGATTAGATAGGCTCATTCATCGTTGTTTAACCCTCGTGCCCATGTGGCAGACGATGTATTGTTCTCCAACGCAACGCCTCTTTGTTACGATCGCGTTAATCGAAATATTTACTTGACGATTCTTTAACAAAATGTAAATCTTATCATTTACTTAATTCTATTCAATAGAATCGTTAAGTAGCTTTTAACGAACTATATAGAATGTTGTATAATAATATTCCTATACACGAAGGCATAAAAAAAGGAAGAAAAATTGATAGATACGCATAAATTTATATTTTGCTGATAAAATAACATTTTATATAAAAAATATATATATAAATTTCTGACGATGTATAACTATATATATTATTAATGCTTATTATACCTATCAATCTTCTATTCTTCTTTTTTAAAAAATATTTATATGATTTGCATAATTATTATATTTATAGAGGAAACATGCAAGATATTTCTGCACACATCCATTACGCGCACATGCAGTAGCATATTCATCTTAGGGAGCTTTATTCGAGATGTCATCAAGCCGCAATATGTGCATCGTACCGGTAGGACATTAAAAATAATACGTTTACACGTCGCGACGCGAGCCAGCGGCTGGGTGGCGGAGACCACACGCGGTTAAGGAGAGGTCCTGGCCGCTGAGTGTCAAGTGGTACGCGATTAGAGCTCCCCATGATGCTCTCTGTGCTCATCTCTCACCAACCGAAATCGTCCCGACTCACAGCGGAGCGCTGGGGTTGCGCCGCGACGACAATGGGCGACATGATGTAACAACATGTGTCGCGTTCGCAAGGGGAATTCCCCTCCCCCTCGTCGCACGCTGGTTCTATATACAACGTAGGGATACCATAGAATGGGATACCACTTAGCAGCCCGCCGGCGGTATACAACAAACAGATTAAACGCCGGACAATAATGGACCCGCCGCTCACTCGCCGGGCTCACTTGGACGCCTACGAGCAGCCTCCCCGCGTTTTGAGTGACGATTCGCTCGAAATCACGATACGACAATACAAATGGCACGGTGAAGTGTAGCGTACGAATGACTAGGAAAACGTTATGCTTGCGTACATCTCACTTGTTCATCGAAGGGGTGCATCTTCATATAGTTTTCATTGTTTTTAGCATTAACCTTTGTTGTGCACACCTCTTCAAAATTACGTATTGTGCACAGGGGGTCTATTAGACCCCAGTCACTTAATTGTTTATTACAGACGTACAATTCGTTATTTTGACTCAAACAAAATTGCTGGCTATTGTTCAAAGCTTCCAAATTAGGTCTAATAGGTTTCATTAATATCTTGCAACATAAAAGAATTATAAATGATATGTTAACTAAAGAAATCGAAAAATGGACTTTTTTCACTAAAAAATGCATAAAAAATTCAATTTTTAATATTTGTACGTATTGTACGTATTAGAAAAACGCGTTTGAAAAAACGCTAGGGTCTTTTCGACCCCTGTGTGCACAACAAAGGTTAATACATTAAACATATATATATTAATACATTAAATAATATCCCTTCGTCCCACTAGGTGGATCGTTTTCGTCCGGGCGAAAATCAAATGTATAATAGTTGTAACTTTTGAAAACGGGCTCCATTCTTTTAATACAAATTATGTGAAAAAATTAAATTGTTTATAATTTTATGATTGATACTTCAAATTGAAAGTTTGAATTACCTCCATAAATTTTTTCAGATTTTTTGTAACACTTTAACATTTAAAAAAAACGTCAGGACGAAAACGACCCACCTATGCGGCGTAAAGGTGCTAAAAAAACCTAGAGAGGCGAAGGAATATATTAATACATTAAATATATAATATATATATATATATATATATGTATATATATATTAAAAAATATATATAAAAGTGCAATGAATTTAATTCATTCAGTTAATTTATAGTTTTTTAATAAAAAGACGCATAAAATAGACGTTGGAAAATGTTTACCTTTGTTTCACCTGACAACGTACTTAATTTTTCTTCGTCTGCATCTAAATTTTTTTAATGCTTTAAAGATAAAATTATATAGTTGTATGAATTTATTATTGCAAGAAAACAACGGTGAAAACAAATTTCATAGAATTTTACAGAAAGATCGTAAGATGTTCTGTTGCCACGCTGACGGAAACAGGCGACGCGGCGTCTGTTTCCGTGGATGTGCCGGCTAATGCTCGAAACATTCGGGTGCCATCGCGGCGATGAGTTATGCATGCCACGTGCGTGTTCTCATACCTTTATTACCGCAGCATCGCGCGAGATAACGCACCGCGCGTAACGCACAAAGGGCGGTCGACGGCGTGACTCGCCTCGCGTTCCGCTAAATTTGCCGCCACGCGAACGAACAAAAAAAAATCTTCCGAAATTAAGCGCGTATATATTTAACGTGCGTAACGAGGAAATCGCCGACGAGCACGAAACGTGAACGGAACGCGGTGGCAATAGGCCGACGAAGCTGCCCGCGTTATAATGACGCTCGATAGACAGCGGAAAGCAACGGAAGGAGAACAATGTTTTTCCATTTAATTAACCCGCTGCGGGTTTCCCAGGTATCATAAAACAGTAAATAATGCGACCTGTTTCCGGTAACAGATGCGAACGAGCCGTCTGTCGCGTTAAGTGGCTCGTCTGAACTAATAGTCCATGAATGCTAAGGAGATTAGAGCATCGGTTGCCGCTGCTATTAATAATTCCATTATAAACGACCAGTTTTTAATTGTTACGCGGCTTTCGGCTGTGTCAAATATATGCATTCGAGGCAACTCATAATAACGTAATCGGATACAAAATTTATTTTCTTATTATATTTAATAAAAAATATATGTATTGTTTATATAAACAGAATGGAATTTTATTTTATTTTCGACGCGTTTCATCCAACAAATGGTTCTCGTAGTGGCGGATTTATCGTAATGATCGAGGCAATTTCTTCGAGATAAAATCCCGACATTCGGGACGATCTATATTTTCCGTGCCATTTGACAAAGAAACCGTGAAATACGTACTCCACGGCCACCGCCGCTCTACCGGCTGCCGAAGCTCAACGAACGGGTCCCGGATTACTCGAGGATTACGCGGGGATGTTCATTCGAGCTGATTTACAAGGTCGACGCGGCGTGCCGTCTGCATAGACGACCGGAGTGGTCGTCCCAGAAGATGCGTCACGATCCTCGATAGAAATGTTACACAATGAAAACAGAGAAGAGTCTACGCAGTGGAAGCCAAAACTGCTCCTATATCTATTGTACTATACGATACCGAGTAAAATATTTTGGCGTGCAACGATTTCTCGAACTTATTTCTCTATTCGCGATGAAGATGATAAGACGACAACGATTGTAAACTCGATAATTTTGATCTTTGTGAGGCAAATAATATTTATTTATCAATAAATTTGTTTGGGATAAATAAAATCTCGAGTTGCATCTCTTTTACTTGATCTTCCTCATAACTGATAGCTTCCGATCGAACGGTAATTTCTCAAGAGTGTCATTTTCCGAGCCAAGCCGCGAGAACGTCGGTGTACAAATAATTCAGATGATAAACGAATTAACTCGAAATGGGATGATGAAAGGCACATTTAGGGTGGCAGGAGCCCTCGAGTTCTGCCTTAATGCGAGGGCTGATGTAGCAGAACGTTTGACCCCTCGCCTCACCAACGCAAGATGAGAGAACCGAAACAAGGAGAGCGAGACGGAGAGAGAGATCACGAGTACGACACACGTGCTCGGCTCATGAATCAAGTCGTATTAGCGAGAGAGAAGTAGGGACCGCCGGGTACCAATCTACCATTCCAACTTGGAGTAGATTGGATTCTCGAGCTTTATTCGATTATCCACGAACGAGGAGCACGAATTGAATGTGGCGCGACTCTCTCCGGCATAACCCGTCGTTTCGCTCCGCAGCTTTGGTAACCGGAGCATAAACAACGAGCTGGACAGTGATGGACGGCGTAACGAAGTAAGCGAAATAAAAAGACCGAATAAGGTATTATCAATTTCCTTAGTATTTGAAAATATATAAGAGTTTGGATTCCCGATGATTAACACAAGAAACGTTTAAAACATTATAGAAAACCCGAAACAAATAATGTTATAACAAAAAACATTTTGATTCTTTATACGGCATTGTTAAAAATGTTCAGAAACGTTAACATCTACAACAAAACATGCGTAAGTATTAAGGGGGAATACCCAATTAGAAGCGCAAAAAAAAGACAATTTTTGTGAATTTTTTTAAGGAAACCTATATGAATTATGGTATTGGTATTTTGTCTACATGAAAGTACACACTTTTAAGAATATGTTACATTTTTTTTATTAAAAAATATTCAATATTGGCGGAGTATTCATGGGTTCTGTCGACTGCCGCAAAAAAAAGGTCCTCCGCGGTGACCACTCCCATTTCATTTGTAATCATCAGAATCAAAAAAACCAAAAAGATTATTAAAATTGACACTATAATTTAGTCTTTGTCGTAGGGGTTTTTGAAAATATCGATTTTTTACAAAATGGCGGGCGTTTGAATTTAATTAAGGGTTCGATTTTTAGGGAAAAATTTAGGTTTATTTTGCCGATAAAAAAAAACTAAGTCACTTAAAAAAAAATCCTACGACAAAGACTAGATAATTATGTATAGAATAACCTCTATAAATTTCAAATTGATCGGTTCAGTGGTTGCCGAGATATTTTGGTCACCGATTTTTAACATGGTTTCGAGAAAAACGCGTTTGAAAATTGAACAATGAATAAATCGCGAAAATTTTTCAACTTATATACATAGAATCATCGATTCCAGGTCCATAATATAAGTCCTCCACCTTGCTTGGAATGCAAAAATTGAACAATCAATTTTTTCGAACTTTCTAATTGGGTATTCCCCCTTAAGCAACATTTACTTTCTGTTCTGTTGCAAAGGGTTGAAACGATCAAGCGGGAAAAGAACGATGACGACCGAAGATATGGAGATCTCTAATCGGTAAAATCTTGCGCTGGATAGCCGATGCTTGAATATCCGCCCGGTCGATCGGTATTCTTCAGTAGATATTTGTGTAGCGTGAGTTTTTACGATTGTGTTATAAAAGGGAGGCTCCAGTATCTCGTGTTTGTAAGCTATTTTTCGTCGTGCACACCTGCCCCTATTCTGGTGTGTGTATCTGTGCGCGCGTACCATCAAGACCGAAGCTCCATATTTGCGTTCGGCATGTACGAACGAGAAGTGTTGTCGCCTTTCATGCCAGCGTCCAAAATTCAAATGATCCTTTCAACGGAACGTTATCGTATCTATTCACTTGGTTATGTTCGGAATTATCGTGCCATGGAATCGCGCGAACTGCTCATCCATTTGCTTGAATGTGTTTCAGCTACCGATATACATGTGGAAATAACATTAAGGCTGTCGACTTAAATATAAAAGATAAACTTATCATTAAATTCTAGTTTGTGTTGTTGCCTACAATATTTGGTCGATAAAAAAATGTTTTAAATAAATAGTTTGCATAATTTAATTCAAAATAACCTACTAAAGTGCTATTCTAGACTCGTCATCATCATTATCATCATCAATATTACCATCATTATCATTATCAAGTTTCAAACATTGTGTGTCTTGTATGATGATGCATAATATGTCTATACGCTTTATTTTATTAAAAAACTCATAAAATTTCTTCGAATTTTCTATGAAAGTTAGAATATGTTTAGATAGAAAGATATTAGATTTCAAGAATTGGGTTGTAATGGTGATACGTAATATTTCTATGTTTCAGCTTATTAAAAAATTTTCATAAGAATTTCTCAAAATTTTCTATAAAGATAACAATATGACTAAATAGAAATATCAAATTTCAAGCATTATGCTTACAATTAGTGGTGATACATAATATTCCTATGTTTCCGTTTATTAAAAAAATCTTCATAAAAATTTTTCAAAAATTTCCATAAAGATCATAATATAACTAAATAGAAATATCAGATTTCAAGTATTATGTCTTACAATTAGTAACGATACGTAATATTTCTATGTTTTGTTTATGGAAAAATTTTCATAAAAATTCCTCAAAATTTTCCATAAAAGTCAGGATATGGTTAGAAATATTGCCGAAAATCGAAGCATCGGTAGAAATGGAATGTCATAGGGTTCCTTAAGTCACATAGCTTATCGCCACCCATCGATAGCGACAGTACTACGAGCGGCAGGAGCGGAATAGTGGAGGAGGAAGCGACAGGAGGCGTGGTAACAACGCGCACGCTCCACGTGACCCTGTCGTTTGGAAGGCGGGACTTCAGCAACGAGGCATACAACTACAACAAGCAGTAGAACCAGCCGGTGGTCAGCGACGTTCTCTCTGTCGTCGCGCGCGCGGGACACCTCGAGCCGCGCTCGTTGCACGTACAACACCTGCCGCGCGATTAGGCACGCACGATTCGTCCATCCGTAACCCGTTCCGGCGACCATTTTTTAAGACTGCAAATTTTGAGCAGTGCCTCTCCCCCGACCCGAAAATCGGGGCGACATCGGCGCAGCGCGATCGCCCGAGTGCCGTCGCGGGAATCATGCACGGGAAAATGATTGACGATAACAACAACAGCACCAATGACATGTCGATCTGTGAGTGAATATGCGCACGGGAGAATGAGACTCGCTCGTTCGAAGCGGAAGAACATTCTCAGGACCGTCGGAAGCGGACAACCTCGTCATGATGTTGGTTCCACAAGACATTATGGGCGGCCCGTCGAAGATGCTCTACCAAATGAACAAGTACTACGCCGAGCGTGTACAGGCACGCATGGGCCAGGTGCAGAAGACCATACGGGAGGTGTGCAAGGTCGTGCAGGACGTGCTCAAGGAGGTCGAGGTGCAGGAGCCGCGCTTCATCTCCTCGCTGACCGAGTGCAACGGCCGCTACGAGGGTCTCGAGGTGATCTCGCCGGGTGAATTCGAGGTGGTCCTCTACCTGAATCAGATGGGAGTTTTCAACTTCGTCGACGACGGCACCCTGCCGGGCTGCGCCGTGCTGAAGCTCAGCGATGGGCGCAAGAGATCCATGTCCCTCTGGGTCGAGTTCATCACCGCGTCCGGCTACTTGTCGGCCAGGAAGATACGCTCGAGATTTCAGACTCTGGTGGCGCAGGCCTGCGACAAGTGCAACTACAGGGATTCGGTGAAGATGATCGCCGATACTACCGAGGTGAAACTACGGATACGGGAGCGATACGTCGTGCAGATCACGCCAGCGTTCAAGTGCTCCGGTGTGTGGCCGCGATCCGCCGCTCATTGGCCGATACCGCACATCCCCTGGCCGCATCCCAACCTGGTGGCGGAGGTCAAAACGGAGGGCTTCGACCTGCTGTCGAAGGAGAGCGTCGCGCTTCAGGGCAAGCAATCGGCGATGGAGGGTGACGCCTGGGTGTTGTCCTTCACGGAAGCGGAAACCAGGCTGCTACAGGGCGGCTGTCGTCGAAAGTGTCTGAGTATACTTAAAACCCTAAGGGATCGACACCTCGATCTGCCCGGAAATCCAGTCACCAGCTACCACATGAAGACCTTACTGCTGCACGAGTGCGAGAAACATCCCCTCGAGACCGAATGGGACGAGGGATGCCTGGCCGACCGTATTAATGGCATCTTCTTGCAGCTGATATCCTGCCTACAGTGCCGGCGATGTCCGCACTACTTCCTACCGAATCTCGATCTCTTCAAGGGAAAGTCACCTAGCGGTCTGGAAAATGCGGCGAAGCAAGTTTGGAGACTTACGAGGGAGCTGCTCACGAACAGCCGTGCGCTCGAGAAGCTTTAGCGTCCTCCTGCTCGAAAGCACACGATGGAAAAAAGAAAACGCGCGATGATGAGAAGAGAGAAACGATGACACACGTGTAACACAATTTTTAAGCACGTTTCTACCGCATGGTACTACGTGCTTCTCCGATACTACACGCAAACAGTATTGTAGTTACTGTTATTACTTAATACACGCTTGTATCAAGGGCTTGGTGCATTGTTACAAATGACTCTCGACACGTAAGCCACTTTAAATCGTACACTTGTTTTCCTTCGATAACAATCGCGGTTCAACGAGCAATAATGATCGTCAAGTAGATAATTCAGACTTTTAATTTTCTGTTTAATATTCAAACAGTCGCATGGAAATCAAATAATTATATAATTAAAAATCTAGCCATAATTCTTTTTTATATGAGTAGCTATTATGTTTGACTAAAATTGATTATATTATTCATATGAGCAAAAATTTCGTCCATTAAATAAAATAAAATCAAGTCTGTATCATTTTAAATTTTCCGAACAAAACGAAATATATATACCATACATGATTGATTGTCAAAGTCGAATGATATCCACTTGAATAGATGGAAATAAAATTCGCGCAAATTATAAAATCTTAAAAGAAAAAAAAGCGAAAAGTATACGATTAACTAAACTATCTAAACATGCTGCAAAATATACATATAATCTAATTCGTTTTATTGTTATATTTCGATTAGTTATACGATTTTTCTCGAAATCAATATATTAATGTTTTATTTCAATGTGTGATCAATGTAAATTGCTGCAGTCAAATAAGCAAAGTCACTGCAATTAAACTTATGATATCCATGCGACTAGGTAAACGCTAAGTATGGCATATCTTGATAGTTAATGAAAAACATTATGTTTTTTGCAACGCATATGGGTTGTGCAATTGGCTCTGTTGAAATAGAATATTTCATATAATTGTTTAGTGCAATAATAGTTACTCCATCTCCATTATAAAACAACGAAATATCAGAATTGTAATAGCAATAAGATAAAAAATAAATTTTGAAGACACAATGCTGTCCTACAATTTAGTGATACTCCGTATGAAACTGTATTGACGAATGAATGTTCACACTTCCAACATTTTAATGAGTCAAGGTTATTTTCGCATTCTAGATTATTTAAGAAACATATATAAGATATGTAATACGTTCCGATTAATTATTATTACAATTCTCTTTTTATCTAAGCGGAATAATGTGATTTGTTATCCTTATTAATATTTATAATCGGTTAGCAACGAGCTTCCGGTAGTTTTACAACGTTATATGTATATATGTGGTATACATACTTCTTTTATATTATTTAAATGATATTTATTTCATAATCGGATCATTATATATATATTTGAAACATGAAATGTACATAATGAATAAATGCATTAATTTCATCTCCAATTGAACATTATACAATTATTTACTTTAGAAAAAAGCTATCCCACCTTGAAATATTATATCCAACTGTGCGATTAGAAAATTTTATTCATTATATCTTAATATTATTCAGTAAATTATTAAATATTTGTAGAATATACATACACAAATATGTATTTAAAAACATATAATATGTGTACGTTTTTAAATATGTATGTTATATTGTCCAACTAATTATATAAATCTCATATAAATAATTAAAGTATTTTCGGCATAAAATACTATTGTAATCGTGTAAAACATCATGTTCTTGCTTCAATAAACATTACATCGTGAATTTATTTTTACGAGAATTGCTAAACATAATTTGGTTCGTAAATTTCACGTTTCGTAACATGCAACATTAAAATATGATCGTATCTTCACTAATTAACACAGAGTGGTTTTTCTCTTGCAAGAATATATTTTTCTTAATGTGCTGTGTATTCGATCGTGATACGCGTGTACTGCGCAATTATTATGCCGAATACTTATACTTAACATGTACGTTATAGAAGCCTTGAACGACTCGCTGGCAGCAAGCCGAAGACTATCATCTTCATTATACGCCTACCTAGAATATCACGTTCTTATCTTAATTTTATCCTTAACGTTCCGCATCTTCCTTTCCTGGTGATGACATTCGTTAGCCGGTGCCATTCACTTTTCTTGCTTTACCACACGTTCGACCGTTTCCAAATGCGTATGATAATTGTTATTACATTCTAACACGAACACTAAAGATCTCTATTGACTGTGGAATCTCAAATTGCATTCTTCACTGCAAGAAACACACTGCAGTATTTTTATCATTATAAGATATATTAAGATATTAACAGAGATATATTAAACAAGATATATTAAGATACTTCTTGTCTTTTCTAGTTTTCATCATTGAAAATATTTTACTTTTCCTAGCAAAATAACGATTAAATAATACGATTGCTTCATTAACTAACTCATCATTGCTAACAATAATATGTTATTTATTGCAATTGTTATTGCTAAAAAAATTATTTTATTTTAATTTTTTGAAAATTAAAGATATCAATTGTTTTTCTAACTGATTTGTGTGTGTTCATAGCCAAAAATATTTAAATTAATTTATTTATGCTCCAAAAAGAAAACATTTCTCGATAATCCTGACTCAGTGAATTGGTTACAATAATCGAGAATAATTATTATGGTCCATCGACTTCCAATGCCAATCCCTTGAAAAGAAAATATCCTTGACATGAAGGAGTTCGAGGTAACTTTATTCGGCAGTATAGACACGGTTGTGGTCCACCATGTCGAAAATTTCGGAATAACTAAAAGGGCTGCAGAGGAGGGACCGTGCCCTCGCGGATGGGAAATAAACTAAGCAGTTCCTGCATAATTCATGGGGAGGAAGAAGGGCTACCACGAGGGTTGCCTCGCGTTACCTTCGTTCCCCTATCGCGAGCGCTACACATGAACGCAGCTAGAATATCTGTGCCGGATCGATCTTGTCGGTCTGGCGCAGTCGACCACGCCCGCCCAGCGTGGCAGACCTCCGATTGGCTAAAAAATCTTGCCGGAAGGCGTAGTCTGCCAGGAGGAGGCGTGCCAGCAACGCTGTATGTTCGTGCTCGCCACGGAGGATGGGTGACGCGGAGGAGGTAGACATCAGCGCAGTCGGCTATCTGCTCCTGCACGGAGACGCTCGCGATACCTCTTCCTCCTGCTACGTTGGTGTCTCCGACGCACGGTGCGTCCTGGCGAACGCCAGGTGGAAAACGAATCTAACGAGGTTTATGAGCGACGAGTTTCGCGTCTTCCCGCAATGCGATAGATCGCGCAAAGCGGCTCGATGACCACGCGAAGAAGGGGAAAAGGCCTGGATGAAGAGACACGAGAATGTCATGATCCGGAGAAGCTGAAGACCATATAATAACCATCCGTGGACTACGGGCGGTGCACGATGCTGGTACCGCCTGATATGATTTCGTCCCACTCCAGGATGGTCTATCAGTTTAACAAGTACTTCGGCGAACGGGTGATGACGAGGAAGAGCCAGGTGGCGAAGACCATTCAGGAGGTGTGCCGAGTCGTGCAGGATGTGCTGAAGGAAGTGGAGGTGCAGGAGCCGAGATTCATCTCGTCCCTGACGGATTACAACGGCCGATTCGACGGCCTCGACGTCATCTCGCCGACGGAGTTCGAGATCGTCATCTATCTGAATCAGATGGGCGTGTTGAACTTTGTGGACGACGGCACCCTGCCGGGCTGCGCCGTGCTGAAGCTCAGCGACGGGCGCAAGAGGTCCATGTCCCTCTGGGTGGAATTCATCACCGCGTCCGGTTACCTGTCGGCCAGAAAGATACGCTCGAGATTCCAGACCTTAGTGGCGCAGGCCTGCGACAAGTGCACGTATCGGGATTCGGTGAAGATGATCGCCGACACTACCGAGGTGAAACTACGGATACGCGAGCGGTACGTCGTGCAGATTACGCCAGCTTTCAAATGTGCCGGACTCTGGCCCAGATCAGCCTCCCACTGGCCGATCGCGCATATACCTTGGCCGCACCCGAACATCGTCGCCGAGGTGAAGGCGGAGGGCTTCGACATGCTCTCGAAGGAATGCATAGGCCTGCAAGGTAAGCAGTCCGCCATGGAGGGCGACGCCTGGGCGTTGTCGTTTATCGACGCGGAGAATCGATTGTTGCAAGGCGCGAGTAGGAAGCGTTGCCTCAGTATACTGAAGACTCTTAGGGACCGACATCTCGACCTGCCGGGAAACCCGGTCACCAGCTACCACATGAAGACCCTGCTGCTCTACGAGTGCGAGAAACACCCGCATGAGGCGGAATGGGACGAGGGTTGCCTGGCCGAGCGAATAAACGGCATTTTTCTGCAGCTAATCTCCTGCCTGCAGTGCCGCAGATGCCCGCATTACTTTCTACCGAATCTCGATCTCTTCAAGGGAAAATCGCCGAGCGGTCTCGAAAACGCCGCGAAGCAGGTGTGGAGACTCACCAGGGAGTTGTTGACGAACAGTCGCGCGCTCGAGAAACTGTAATGACCGACGGCGCTGTGACTGATCGTAGTATGATTCGTGAAACTGATCTCGCAAATCTTGTCACACGTTCCTGTAACTGCAGCGTCGATGACTTCGACGCGCGAGTAAGATACGTTTCTAATCGTATAACGGCCGTGCAAGGACTGCGCGAGAATCGTCGTGGACTGGAAGACTCAGTGTACGCGAGAGAGGCTTTCGGGCTTACGAAAAAGAGAAATGGGGTTCCTCTTGGTTCTTGCCGCCATCCAACGTACTGCCGAGTCATCGGGAAATCCGATCTGCATTTTCCTGGATTTCGCAGATCTGAAGATTACACATGTTTTCGATGTTCTCCGAAGATATTTAGTGTGTGCCGGAAGCAATTCTCGCGAGATTAATCACGCGCATATGTGATGTTTGGTGAACACGTGATTGGCTCTCGCAGACGATCGAATTAGTGCCATAAATAATCTCTTCGACGTTAGAGACAGATTTCGTTTCTACTGTCGGCGCGAAATATAAAGTAAATATATTATAGCCGCAGAAAATTATCATTCAGTTGCAACGGCGGTTTGCAACGCTGTGACAATGGCGCGTAAAGAACAACCTTTAACCTGTGGTACGGAAATCTTACTGTTGAGTGAAAAACCTACTATTCTCCGCGTTTGACTCTTTAAGATTTTTAAATCTACGTCCTATGACTCAGATTTTAGTGACGAAAACTGTTTTCTACAACGTTCCTTAATTTCTAATATGGTTTTTACTTCGAAGCTCGTAAGCTTTTCGCGATAGTCTTAAGCCTGAGACTGCAAGCACTGCCATATCGACACTTAAAGAGTTGACGCGACTAATTAGTTTAATGATGTCTTCTTAACATGCTGAATAGTATGTTTGTTCTACAGTTTTTGTGTGATCGCGACCACGGTTAAGGGTTTATCGTTTCTCACTTAGGTCCCTCGCGCGACCTCCGCCGCCTATGTAAATAAAACTTGAAAGATATTTATTGAACTGTAACGAAATGTGAAATATAATGCTATTTATATGGAAGCCTAGTCGCGTCGGTTGATGACACATCATGCACACCCACTCCTTACCCCCCCTGTGTCACCCGAAGAATCGCCCGTCGTAAATATCGCCGTACCCCGCGCTGATCGCCGCGCGACGATCGTTAAACGTTTCGCTCGCGATGAACGCGCGGCGGAGAGAGCGAGCGAGTTAGGCCTCGTAAATTTTACAGTCGCTCTCACTTTTTTGTCGTTTGCGTCGCCAATGGGCCCAATGGGGATCAAGGTGAGGAGGAAGAGACATTGGGGAACGTCCGTGCACGCGCATCTTCTTTCGCGACGTTCAGCGACGGCAAGCTATCGGCGATCATCGCGGAAAAACGGGACACCTTTTAGACATGTTTCCGCATATTTTTATCGCGTGTGAAATAATTCGCGTTTATCGGTTTTCCTAAAGATCATCTGACGCGCTAAGATTAAATGATGACATGCACCCCCCGAATGCAAACGTTGTTGCCTATTATTTATGAAGAATTATTTATGAATTTTATGACAATGGGACAACATACGCATAAATTCCTGGTTATCTTTTCGTCGATTTAGCTTCCCTTCGACACGGGTCTATAATTACTATCGTACGTCACTCCTTTCTGTTTTTCGACTTAACTACCTTCCTTCTTGATAAGCTAATTGGACCTTATCTCAATATTTTACCGCGAACTTATAGACGCGACGGCCTACGGCCTACGTAATAACGTGTGGCAAACCGGACGGGTTTTAAACAGCTGCTCCTAAACATGAAGAAGAGCACCGTGTCCTTGTATAGGAAGAGTGTCTCGTGCAAGGAAAAGAAACGCATTAGGTTGATAACCAAATGAGCCTCTTGAGAATTATATTACGCGTCTTTTAAGTGTTATAGGTGCAAGAATAAAGTCCTATTACGAATAAGATATTATTTTTTTAAATATTACGGACCTGATTTAACATGTTCGGTTATTGCATGAGACTTTTGCTGCTTTACAATTAACGATTGCAAATTGATTAGTAACATAAGTAACGACAAATCATTATATTGTATAAAAAAGTGCAATATACTTCTTTCTCAAAGAATAACGCGGTAGTGAAAAATACCTACAGCGCGAAAGAGTCACGATTTTCTTAAAGTAATGTAATAAAGTAAGTAATAATACTGGCAATATCTTGGCAGAAATAAACTTATTAGATCGCTAGCTAAACGCGCAGCGATGGTTAACACGTAAGGCAGTCTTGCGAAACGAGGCTCGTGCAAAATCATTTTCAATTAATGGACGTTACGGCGTATTTCGAGTCAGTCGCCACGCGAGCACATGTTTTAAAGATACTTTACTCAAAGCCTAAACGGAAGTAACAAATGATTTCGCATACGTAATAGATTTGAGACCGCGCGTCAGTTGTAAAGACTCATCTCAGCTGGCATAAACGACCGTACAACTGGCATCCATTCAAACAACAATTACTAATAACCGTGTTTACCGTACCGTGCATCAGAGAAACTTCAAATATTCCCGTCTTTGCACGCGATCTTTGAGGATAGTCTTTATAAGTAATGGGCGAAATCTTCCGCTTGATACGAATAAATTTTTTAGCGTCATTTTTTAGCGCCGATCTCACAATCTGAGGGACACACCGATATCTGAATTAATCTGTTATACATATAGCACAAATTAGAGATTGTGCGTGTAGCGTGAGATAAAAATAAAGTATCACTTATAAAACAAGTGTATGAGAACACAAAAAAATTATATTACTTTATAGCTTAACGTTATTTGTATAGAAAAAGGCATAAATTATACAAGTTGTATAAATGAGAATATTATCAATGTCGAGACTTTGATCTAGTATGTAGCTATCTTCTTTTATTTTTTAATGAGGGTAATCAACTAGCGAGCAATAATTAAATCCGCAATTAAACCAGTAAAGCGAGTAAAGCTAGTTATTCGCGCGAATTATCTCTCTCAAAAACATGGAAACACGTTAAGAAGATATGTTGATTTGCTCGACAATATGTAAGGTTAATGAAATTTACATTGATAGCAGTTTCGTGTAGATCATTAAATACATGTAGCATGTTGTTCGATAGAAAAAAATACTCGTAATGTATCCTGTAAATATATTTTCCACTCGCGCGGAAAAATCAATTTCTTTTACTTCGTTACGTAATAATAACCATTTTATTCGATATTTTGTCCTAGCTCTTTTTTTTAATACAAATCTCGCATCAGGTGCATAAAATAGAAATAAAAATTTCGACGTTATTATTAGATTTACTTTACGTTCCGCGACAAAGAATAATAAAACTCTTCGTACAAAAATATCTCGCGCAACTCAATGTTTTTGAATTTCAGAAGCCACGTGCTGGTTGCACATCGTAACTTTGCGACACGACTGCAATTCGACCTGAATGCGCGGCGACTTGTATGAACAAATTTACATGCTTATCGGTTTATCACCGTAACTTTCAAGGCGGCTGACAGGCGGCCGCTTCGTAAACCGCAAGAACAACAAGAAAGCCATGAGTGATTAGAAGCGGAGCAATTACAATAAATTATTATTCATAACGACAAGCTTAATCGTTAGGTTTGCTGGCGACGCGATAATAAAATACGATCGCTGTCAATTAAATTATGCGTAAAGCTATTAATAATCCTGTTCTCACGATATCGATCTCGCATTTATCGCATATTGCTCAATCACTGCCTGCCAATAACGATAGTATGTCTCTCAAGAGTTTATTTCCGCTTAAGATAGGTGATCGGTAATATCTTCTAATACCTAATACTAGGTGGATGTTTTATGATCAACGAGATCTACCGATTCCATTGATAAAATTCAGCTTGAAAATAAAAAATTGCATTTTTAAGGCAACCAAATTTTCTCTCATGTTGAGAAAGATAATATTTTACGTTCTTTCCCATCATTTGCGAAATGAATGAGCGTTTTAAGTATTGTATGCGGAAAAGGTCTGTAAGAAGAGCGAAGAAGCAACGAGAGGAACAAGAGGAAAGAGATCTGGTTGCAGCATGCAAATGTCTTCGGTCGTTCTTTTCCTTTTCCTTTACGATATCCTGCAAGGAGGGCCGCGAGGACGCTTTATCATTGTATCGGTTGCGCCGTCTCTCGAATTCGCGGCGCGAATCGCGTGAGGCAACGCGAGACAAAGGCAGAAATTCGCGAAAGCAAACATTGTAATTGGCGAAGGGACAGGAAGAGAATAGCGACGGACAGAGACAGAAGGAAGAACGCACAGAGACGTTCCCGAAAGGAGTCGAAGAAGCGTAGGCCGTGATCCTCACTCCACGCCCGCGCGCGAGCGCTTGGTACGAGAGAGTCGGCACCGATCCGGCTCTCCTTCTTCGGGGTGATCCCGGTTGGTCTCCTCGACCGGCACGGACTCCCGCTATAAAACGTTCAGATAAAGCCGCGATGTTTATATGCAGGGATCGCGGCAAGAAGAGAGAGAGAGAGAGAGAGAGAGAGAGAGAGAGAGAGAGAAAGGGGGGGTGCCGTGTAGAAGGAGAGATATACCTGCCGGCCGCGCGCGCGTCGACAAAATAATAAGACAAAAGATGCCGGGGGTGGACGATGGCGAAGCGAAGGAAGGAGGAGGACCGCGATCAAGGTAGAAGAGAGAGGAGGAAGAAAGAGCGAAGAGGAAACGAACGCTGGACTCTGGAGAGATAGACCCGTGCGACCGGGCGAGGATGGGGAAAGAGAACTGTATTGCAGACACACAGTGGATGCTGCAACGCACGAAAGAGATGAGGGGACGAAGGGTGCAGGGACGACCAGAAAAGAAGGAAACCGGACAGGAATGCACGGACGAATGCGTCGTGTTACGGGCTACCCGACCGCGACGCTTATCGCGAGAGAGTGAGCTCTCATTAGAATCTCCTCTCCGCCTAGCTCGACCGGCTGTAAGGATCGTGGACGACGATCCTCGTCGCATACAGCGAGACTGAAACGGGATTGCTGTACATTATATATCCGTAATTTGCGTTTATCGGGACGCGAATGGTCGAACGCCACGCGATCAACGTTTGTCTCCAGACGATTTCCATAGAAAAACTAACGAGCGTTCAAGATTGCGGAGTACCTTTTATTCTTCGCGGTTATACGAAACGCAAGACTTTCCAGATCGGCCTCTCCAAGAAATAAACATGTGCTACAGATATAATAATAATAAAATACATACACCTCATTTTATCGGTCGAAGAGAAGCTTGTATCTTTCTTTTGAAAAAAATAATGGCAACCGATTAAATTTTCATCGCAAAAGGATTAATTCCAAATCATTCGGAAGTTGTACGCCTGCACGCAAATCTCGGTCCATTAATCCAATTACATCCTGTATAGGAATCTTTTAATTTCTTTTAGCGACGCCGGAAATTTAATTCACGAAAGACAGATACATTCATGTATATTTCACATCTCCGTCTCTTCAAAGCCCGAGCGCTTATATGTCAGGTCGAATTTTGGGCAACTCATCATACTCTCGCTGTGTCTCAATTTTTATTAGGCTTTCGAGCGTTCCTTCTGAAAGAAAAAAGAGCAAGAGAAGAAAAGCGTCTAACCTACCGGTAACGCGATACCGTCCGTCAAATTTTTTCCTCTCTTTGTACACGCGTGAGTTTGTAAGACACCACGAGAGATGCTGCGATGGAGGCGCCGAAACGAGATTGTAAAAATAACGCGGGAGCGTTAGTTGACCCCGCCCAAATTGCGCTCGCAAATCGCGCGTCGGAAAGAAAATGTAAATATCGCTTTCTAATATTGTGAAGTATTTTTCTGCAATCGATAAATTGTGGAATCGCGTAATTTACGTCGCGGAGAGACTAAGAGAAAATCTTTTGCATAAATCGTCCGAATTTATGGACTCTGTTATCGTTCGATACCTCTGTTAATAATGTGTATGCGAATATTGTCAGTCTCTAATGTATTCACGTTTAACATTCGTAGAAACCGTTTATAAATTCGGAGGTTCGGCGAAGGAACCCATTAACACGGTGCT